ACCAATCCTAATTGGCCTGACCACTGCCGTCGATCCAAAGCCTGCAGAACAAACAAGAAAGAAACAAAAGACATCATTAAGATGTCCTAGGAGTCCTAGGCGATGTGCTTGAGGTGGACGAACATGGGACAAGACTGTAGATCTTCGGCAGCCTGCACAATGGGAACACTTGTGACTGTTCACAGGCACAAAAAAAATCGGATTTCCCGCTTGCGTGATAAAGTTGAAAGCTTCAGTTAGCACATAGAGGCACAAAGCAGGCGAAGAGATCAATCAGTTGCGAAGCAAGTAGTTTTGATGCATAAACGCAAAACAAGTTTGAACTAAGCGTGCTTCTGCTTGAAGCTGATGTGGTAATGTGATCGTTTCAAGCAGTCCCCTAGGTTTGCTGGCCAGTGAAGTCGTTAGTGGGCGGCTTGCCAGCACGCATTGGTGTGAGAGCCGGACCCCCAGAACCAGAAGCTGATAGAATGTTTATTCACCAGCTGGCTTACTGCGAAGCTAGAGCTGTTTCTGAGATGTGGCATATGGGCAGCAGCCACGAGCTGCTTGCTGCGGAGTCTCTGCCGATGGATTGTGGTGTCAGAGCAAAGGCGCAAACCATCTTGGCAACCGCCGCTCACCCCCCCCCCATATGTGTGCAGGCCGTAAGACCTTCGGAAGGCTTGACCCATGGATCGCTTGGTTTACGTGTGTTCGCCGCCGCGGCAGGCCATCCGACTTGCCGAGTTGGCCAAAGCATCCATGCAGGTAGATCGCTGCTCACGAACTCCGCGAGGTATCTGTTCCCCTGAGCAATTACAGATGCATTTGTCTGCAGGCCGGGATTGATGACCTGGCAGCCCGAGGGTTTTCAGGTCAAGAAGCTGGCAAAGCGGACAAGGCAGCGTTGCTTCTTTGTGCATGCCACTGACACGGCAGTTCATAATGAAAATGCACGCAAAGGTGAGCTAGCACGCCCTGACAGTCAAGCTACGAATCTTCCTTGCCTTTGGATGCCTAATTATAGGCAATCGACACAGGCTATCGTCACATTCGGGCGTGTCTCACCAATAGCCGACATGATTTCTATTGCGTGCTGGATTGCAAAAGTTGAGTGCCTCAGTGTCGCGACTTTCAGGTCTTCGCTTGGTAAGAAGTCTTTGAATCGCAAATGATTGGTTTTGCTGGCACAGCGGAACTGTTAGGCACTTGTCCAAGGATGTGAATGGGCAGTTTACTTTATTAGTTGTTGTGTGTGCAAGTTTTGTTGGCAGCGGCGATGGCAAAATCAGTGTAACTTTTTTATGCATGTATCATCATGTATCACCACGCACAAGTACCACACATAAGTAACCAAACTCATACAGAACGCTTGCATCTGCGTCATGGGCGTTGCTCATGGGTGCAGCTGCAAGAAGCAAGATGAGAGACTGGAAGAAGATGGTGATGATGACTCTTTGGTGAAACGTCCTTGCTGTTTCGCGAGTGCATTCTGAGTACAGACCTCGCCACGGTCGTCCGTTCTTCCAAATGTGGAGTTGCACCATGTAGCAATCAGGACGATTTGGTTTCAATCGCTTCCACACCTACACTTGTGTCAAGCTCCGAAGTGCTGGAGTTCCTCCGCAAGGCACAGGACATTGCTATACATTGATAGCAGCCGCTGTGCAGGTGCAGTTTGGCTGCTGCGAGTACCATACTTCTGTCCTGTCACAGGTGCAGCTGTTTAAGCGGCTAAAAGAGGATCTCCTGCCCTCGCTGGCACCGTGCTGTGCAAGCAAGAGCTTCCTGCCTGGACGCTGGGCTTGACGACGTCGTCTTGTCATGGTGGATATATTGTTTTTTGTTCCCAGGGCATATGCAGTCACGTTCATGTTTTTGTGGATTGTGGATTGGGACACTTTTGGCTGCACAAAGGTGATGTCGTCATTGAACAAGGCGACGAAGGTCATGAGCTCTTCGTCATCAGGCCCCAATTTCAGTGTGGTTAGTGTGTCTCTGGGGCAAAGTCTAGCCCTGGAGTAGCCTTCCTCGTGCCTTTGTGTGGCAGGTCCGGCGTCTGCTCCGTGCAGGTGAACGGTCACGAAGTGGCACAGCTCAAGGCGCAGCGACGAAGCGGGGAAGCGGCGAAGCGGCGAAGCGGCGAAGCGAACGCCACGGCATTGCTAAGGCACTGCTAAGGCACTGCTAAGGCACTGCTAAGGCACTGTATTTCTGGCATCAGCTAACAGGACGGCGACTACTTTGGCGAGAATGCTTTGCTGAGGGATGAGCCGCGAACTGCAACCATTGTGGCGCATCTCGGACGTGAAGGGGATGTGAATACCGAGCCTTCTGTAGCCTTCCTAAGAATTCATGTCCGGTGTCAATTTTTCTTCTTTGGACATTGGGGTTTGTATCACAGAAAAGCAGGAAACAGCCGCTGACCACCATCATTGTTCGGCGCAGCAAGTTCGATTCTTTGGGCTTGCGCGAAAAGCTGGAGTTCAAACAGCGCAATGTGCTAAGCTCAGTTGATGTTTGTGTCCGCGGCAGTTATCCTCGCTGCTTGCGTTGGGCAGACATGACTAGAAGAGATCCCTGCAGCTCTTGGGAAGTTTCCTCCGCAAACAGGCAGTCGGAGGTGGATTCGTTGAGCATTCAGAGGCCAGCACCCTCAGAGCTGAGAACGCAATTCAGCAAAACAAACGCAAAAAGACACTGCTCTGAGCCACAGAGAGCATGCTCGCAGAGAGAGAGAGAGAGAGAGAGAGAGAGAGAGAGAGAGAGAGAGAGAAAGAAGGAGAGAGAGAGAGAGAGAGAATGACTTGAGCTGTGCGGGAGGCGAAGCCGCCCAGTCCGAAGACCGAGGGGGAACGCAAGGTCATGGCGAAGGCACCAAAAACTTCTCCCTGAGGGACTCCAGAAAGCCCTTTTGAAGAGCCATGTTGCAGGGCATTTCGTGCCCAGAACCATCTTGTTGTTCGTTGTGAGGCCTTGAAGGAGAACACAAATCTCCAGGGCTTAGTGCCCACCCCAGTGGGCTTCGTAAAGTGCAAGTGTGGAGCACGTGCATGTGACAGTGCTCACAATAAGCAAAGACATTTTTGAGTATCATGATGTGATGAGGTGTCTTTGGATGAAGCCAGCACTGAAAGGCTTATCGACAGGGCTTGGAAGGCAGGCGCCGTGCAGCAAGTACCATCCAAAATTGCTTTCGCTTTCTCTGAAGGAAGCGGTGAAGACTGGCATAGACGTGATCGCTGAAGGGGATCTCAATGCCTCATTCTTCTACATCGTAAAGCCAGTTCTCCCAGACAAAGCCTGTCAATTTCCTTCCGTCACCGTCATATCTGCCTGCGAGAGATGGTCAGGTCAGGAAGGTTTGACGTCATCCAGACGGGGCCTCAGAGGCTCGTTGTGGTGTTGTCCAGGCAGATTCCAGCAGGCCAAACTGGTTCTTGCGAATCTGGTGCCTCCTAGGAAAGAGCACCGCCGTTGGCCCAATTCAGAGCTGCATAGCATCGCGACTTCGGACACGGCTTTTCTTTTTTGATTTTTTTTTCTCAATGCCTTAGGTGTGGGTCAGCTCAAGCCTGGGAATAGCTTCGGCGAGCAGCCTCCCTAAGTGGCCGTTTTTTCCTCATGCTGATTGCCAGCTTTGCCGAGCCACTTAGGCTGGCGCTGATTTACACCGCGCCGCGTGCTGCAACAGTTAAGGCCAAAAGTGGGGCGTATGGTTGGTGGGGTGCACGTGAGCGCAATGGTGCTTCGTGTCGGCAGGCTACTGTAGACTCGGAGCTCTGGGTCATCGATCGGCATCTTGCCTTGATGGCTTTAGGGCCCGATGCGGCCTGACGCGCGGGATCTGGTGCTTGTACTATCCAGAACATCCTGTCTTTGGCTGTAATGCAGAGTGCTCCATGTAGCATACGTCCATTGCACCTGTTCCCTGTGGGTGGAACGTACAAAATAAGGACTGATTTTAAACAAATCCTGGCTGCTCGTGGCGACAAGTGTCAGGACACTTGGCTTGTGATATAGAACGTGCGGAAAAGAATCTGCTATTGCAGGAGTATGTCGCCTTGTTGGATAAGGCTCGTGTGATCACGGGATGGGGGCTTTTGCTGAAGTGCCAGGAGCAGAGTGAGCGTACACTTCTCGCAGGTGGACCTTCTCAAAGGCCTTTTAAAGCCCGAGGAGAAAGAAGTTCACTTCTCGGCGAGAAAATGTCTCAAGTGATTGGCCTGCAACAGCAGACGAAACTTGCAAGGCCTTAGCGAAGTCTTTAACTGCTGGGGCCCTAGTTGTGCGCAGGCCGTGCAATCAGTCTGTGTGTGCGTGTGTGTGATATTGCTACTCGTAGTCCATAGCTTACCGACTTACCGCTAATTATCGGCTTAAGAAGGAGTGCGTTGCACTGGCATGTGTTCAAAAGATTGAACGTTTGAATGTCTGCTGTTGTTTGCGTTTTTTTCGCCGAACTATTTTTTCTGAATTGTGGCTTGTGAATGTTGGGCAGCGGGTTCCGATGTCTCTGCCGTTCTATGTTGAAAAGTTGTGGCTGCTCACCACTTGGCTGTGAAGACAGTACCTCGAGGAGATGTCCTTCTCCAAAGATGAGACGGTCTTCGAACAAGGCCGCCTGACATCCACGGCCTGTTAGCAAGCTGAGACACGAAACTTACATGGAATCTGTGCTGCTGATGGAGGAGAGAAAGGCGATGCATTTTACATTTTGACTGAGGGGCAGGCGCGGCAAGCTCCAACATGCAGGGAAGCCTTCGGACTCTGACGGGCCGACCTTGAAGGTTGCAGTCATCAAGGACGGCATTGAGCAGATCAAACTGACCGCGGGAGTCTTAGCCAGAGCCCAGCGTAACTCGAAGGGCTCTGCAGGCCCCAGAAAATCCAACTCTTTTTGGTGTTCGCGCTTTACAGGTAGTAAAGCTCTCACTGGTTTCGGCAACTCTGCTTCCGTATTCCACCTCCTTTTGTGGGTCCACCGACATGCCAGCTGTCGCACTGCCTGAGTTTGCATTTAGCAGATGATTTTTTCTTTTGGCATGTTTGGCTATTTTAGATTTTCGCGCTGTCTGATCCGCGTCTTGCATCGAATGTTGCAAGTTATTGCTGATATCTTGTTCCCCACCCTCGGTGTGGGGTTGTTAGATTTTAAGCTCATCTTCTCCTCGCCCGGAACTCTTCTCCTCGCCCGGTCTACTCCTCGCTCATCCCTGGAGTGCTCAACCCCCCAAAGTGCCCAACTCTAGAGTGGACCTGTTGGCCGCAACCAAAACGTGAGCCGGAGCGTCTGGGGCTAAAGCGGCCGGGGCAAACGCAAGCGACGTGCATGGCCTGCGGGGCGAGAGTAAGTGCAGCTTCGCTTGGCACTGCCGAGAACGAAGCACCCGCGTGCGGCCGGCCTTGCGAGCGTAGCAGGGCTTGGGATGCAGGCTGCAAAGCCGGCTTCCTGGAGTGCCCAACCCCACAGTCTCCCTGGAGTGCCCAACCCCAGAGTGTTTCATGCCCAGCCCCAGAGTTTTTCATGGAGTGCTTAACCCCTGCCAGAGTGTTTCCGGAGTGCCCAGCCGCAGAGTCTCCCTCAAGTGCCCAACCCCAGAGTGTCCCAGTGCCCAACCCCAGAGTTTTTTCTGGAGTGCCCAACTGAAGCCCCCAACCCCAGAATCTTTGTGTCCCCGGAGTGCCCAGCTTCAGAGTGTCCCTGGAGCCCGCAACCCCAGAGTAGCTCTACCAAGAGAGGGTGGGGATGTTCTAAGCAAAATACTTTCTTTTTTCTGTCCCTTGCTTGCTACCCATCCATCTAGCCGCGTATATCGTCCTGAAGCACTTTAAAGCTGCAGGCCACTGTCACAGAGGCCCGCTACTTCGGGGAGCGGGCTCTGCTGACAAACGAGGGCCGAGCTGCCACCATCAAGGCGGGCTGCTTTCAGCCTTTCACGGTGCGAAACAGTTTTGTGTTCTAAGTTCTAAGACTCCTTGAGGAGGTGTTGCGACTCTGTACGATACCTGAAGAGAAAGTCTTGAAGGTTGTACTGTAAGTAGACACCTCCCTGCACTTTGCAGTCCTCCAGGCTGACATGGGGTCCTTTTTTTGGCTGACTTGCTGTGCTTTTTCACATGCTTGATCGGCTTTGTGCGGTACTTTCAGCTTTTGGGAGTCTTGGCATGTCTTGGCTTGTTTGCTCCTCTCAGCTCCTTGAGGGCATTCTAGGAATCTTGGATTCTTTTGTTCGGAATTCGTTCTTTCAATTTCGGCTTTCAGGCTTCTTGGTGTTTCGGTTGGAGCTTAGGCACGGGCTTTTTAGGATTTCGATTTCGAATGTCGGGCTATTGATTCTGTTCTTCACTGGGCGCCGGAGGTTAAGGATCAAAGCGTGGATTTGTTAAGTTTAAACCATCTTGCATCATTAACTTGACACTGACTGGACACACCATCCTGGCATCACTTTGCAGTGCTCTTTGGTTGGAGTTGAGCTAGCCTAAACGAGTTCTGCCTCCGGTTACAAAAGGGGCAGCCTTCCACCTGATCAGGTCACGTCAGACAAGGCAAAGTTCTTGCGGTTAGACCGTTTGCGGGGTGCTCGGCGGATGTATTGGGGCTGCCTACAGCCGGCAAACTCCCACATGCCTCTCAGCGATACCTCCTCTGGCTTTTGGGGGCATTTGTGGGCTTTGTTTTTATGTCTCAGCCTTTGTCCCTTCCTCAGGTTGGCTCAGGCCAACCCGAAGAAACCACGTCACTGTCTTTGTAGTCGAGATAACCTGGGGTTGTTTTGGCGTGGCAGACTCCCTTCACAATCACCAAAAGCTGCACCGCAATTGTGCATGTTTGCCAGAATTTGCTTGGGGCTTCGAAGACAGAAGCTTTGAGCATGTTCCATGTACAGCGTGGAGTAGCATCACAATGTCAGACTGTGTAGGAAAGGCTGTTCGTTCTTGTCTCCTTTTCTTTCGTTGTTGACGTGTGTGTGAGTCATGGCTAAAGCAACCGCACAGCTAGTTCACACAGGCCATGAGCCCTTCAATGCTTGGGCAGGGCAGAAGCATCACTGTACTGCCTCCCCACTCCTCCCGGGTTTGCGACGGCCATGTAAAGCCTTCTGAAGGCTTTGTCTTTCCGGGTGTCTAAAAATGGGGAGCCCTGCCCAACCCCTTGGTGCTAGCAAATTTTCATGTACCTTTCAAAGTTCATCACCGTATACAGCGCACTTCAGCAGTATACCTGCTGTAGACCACAGTCCCGCTAGACACGTCTATTTGTCTCTTGTTCTTTGCCTGCGTGTAGAAACCTGCGCATTGGCAGCCCGCTGGTTCACATCTTAAGGGTTGTGAGTACAGTGTGTACAGGGTTTTGAGGGCTTTGGGCCCGGTAGGTCTTCAGGGCTCCAAAACATTGAGGAGACTCAGTCGGGACGGGAAGGTCGGAAGAAAGCCACCTGTGCACCAGGCGAATTTGCAATTTTCGGGGCAATCCAGGGCTGTTCACTTCGGTTCCCCATGGAGGACAACTCGAAAGCTGAACGTTAAATTTTTGCACATAGAACCCCCTAGCTAGCAGCCTTAGTTTTCGTGTGGTGCTGAGTGAACTGACACTCCAGGTTTGTGTCGGGGTTGTGGCAAGCATTGCATGACATAAACAATAACTAAGGTCCTTTGAGATGCTGCTGGGCTCCCTCGAGGATTGTGAAAGGGGCACGCTCAGACAACGTACTAGGGCAAACGCATAAACACGGCAGGAGCTAAAGAAGCTCGGCACTGACCGGGCAGCCGTAGTCATCAATCCTGTTGCCGCGGCCTCGCAGGGCATTCTTGGGTTTGGCATCTCCTGCGCAAATTTGTTGGTGTCCGGCGCGGGCTTGCTGGGTTGTTTTGGAGGCCAAAATGCAGAGAAACATGTCCATGCTACGAAGTGCTTCGCATCTCGGGACAACTGGAGGTCGGACCACTTCTCATCAGTACCCGTGGTAACTTAGCAGTAAACCATGTCCGAGCGTGGCCAGTGTTGGAAGGTGACAGAGAGACTCCCGACCTGGGTCCTATAGAGAGGTGCGCCTGTGCCAAGCAAGCTTGCCAGTAGTTTGTTGGAGGTCGTCTTTGCTCACATGGGGCTGCAGCATTGGCTCAAAAGACGGAAGCATAAGGGCCCAAAGGGACGGCCCAAACTTCGTTTGGTGTCCATGCTCCTCCGACTCCTAACGGTCGCGGCATGGCATTCAGTCGTCGGTGCTGTCACTTATGTCCACGAGCAGGCTCGGGCTTGTACTGTTCCTAGGAAGCCAGGCCATGCCAGGCCACAGGACGACAACTGATCTGACTGACCACATGTGTGGAGCTTCCAATCTTGGTCTGTGCGAGATCAGCTTGGCACTCAGCGAGGACTACATGGCAGACTTTTTCGACCAGTGGGACTTCGTGTCTGCCGATGACCCTACACATGGCACCGTTGATTATGTGACACGCGAGGATGCAGAGCAACTTGAACTGGTCCGTGCCCATCCTGATGGTGTTTTTATAGGTGTGGACAATACGCAGCTCGGACATTGCTGAGCATTTGCTTTGCAGCTTCGCGCCATGCACCTTCCATCACCTTCCATCACCTTTCGCCTTAATCGTAAACGCTTGCGCGCGCCGCGGGCCGGCCCCAGGACAGGAAATGGGGAAAGAGGGTTTTGCAAAAAAAGGGGAGGAAGGGCAGCGGGGTTAAAGGGGGTGGAGGGGGGGTGGGGGGAGGGGGGAGGGAGGGGGGAGGGAGGGGGGTTGGGGGGGGGGTTTGAGGCACTCCCCCTGTAGGAGCCACCGACAGGCGGGACCCTCCACGGCATCGGTTTGCAGCTCCTCCAAGCGATTTGGGGTCCCACAGGGCGGGGGGGGGGGGTGGCGTCACAAAATTTTGCATGCGGAAAAGGGTTGGGTTAGGGGGGAAGGAGGCCCGATCCGGGTCTGCTTGTTCCAGACGCTTTTCGGCAGGAAGCCGAGGCGAACTCCCAACGACCTAGCATGGCCTAGCATGGCCTAGCATGGCCTAGCATGGCATGCCGCATGGCCTAGCCTAGCCGAGGACAGTGCTAAATTCCAGCCAGGGCCGAGGGCGCAAATCCATTCGACTCGAGTCCATCAAGCGCTACAACGATGGCCTCTTCATTATTAGCTTGGATCATGCTCCGACAGGCCAGATTCTTATGTACGATCTTGGGACTGTTGCCAAAAGGAAGAATTCACACTGCAAGGGAGTCTCGGTGCCGCCTCAGGCTGCGGCTCCTGGCCAGCTTTCTGGATGTTCGGGGAGGATGAGGGCCACGTTTGGCCAGACTGGCCTGACCCTAAGAAGAGTTGTGAAACAACCCAGAAGTTTAAGAGCTGAACGTTTTGTATGCTCAGCTCCAGCAGTTGAATCAGTTGAAGCGTGAGCAGCGATGAGGGGCACCAAACTAGCAGCTAGCACGGCAGTGGGCAGCTAGTACTTACAGTAGCTGTCGCACGTATGAAATCAAAGCTGCGGTCGCATGCTGTCGGGGAAGATTTTGTCCAGGCTGGCAGGTTTCTCCAGAGCTTTCGAGCCAAGTGTTTTGTACTGTACTCTTCGTTCAGCACATGCAAGCGGTTATGTTTGGCATGTCTGTCATCTCCTCTTTGGCAAGGGGCGAGTTTGACATCATTGAGTGGATTCATGAGGAGGAGAATGTTTCGACGACTTTGCACACAAAGGCGGGCTGTACCCAGTCGCATCTCAGGGAAGGCATGGACATGAAAGGGTGGTGGAATCCTGGCATCTACGGGAAGGGCAAAGCTTTCAATTGTGATGTACATGCCCCGGGACAATGGCAAAACCAGGGCTGCTCACAACGCGGCCTTACCGGCACGGTCGGCCCTAGCTTCAACGAGGGTGGCGGCGGCACATACGCGGCCGAGTGGGACCCTCTGGCAGGGCACATGCGTGTGTGGTTTTGGCCTTCTGGGTCAGAGCCGGAAGATGTAAAAGGCTCAACACCAGATCCGGAGCTGTGGGGGCAGCCTGACCACTATTTCGAGCTCAGTCAGACATGCACTTCTAACCACTTCAAGAACATGAAGCTGGTGTTTGACATTACCTTCTGTGGCGACTTGGGTTCGCCCACCTTTCACGAACACTGTGGAGCAAAAGTGGGACACAGCAACTGCGATGCCTTTGTTCGACAGGAGACATGAGTCAAATTCGCTGATGTCTCTCATGTGGGCTTTAGGGGACTCTTCTGCGGCCCAGTGCCGGAACAGCCGGAACCTGGTGCAGGAGCCTGGGGCCTTCCACCAAACATACTGGTGGGTTTCAGCTCTCAACGTGTACCACCGTCAGGAGAGCTTAGCCAGCGCCTGAGTTTTTGAGAGCATCGAGTTAGAGTTTGGGATGGAAGCCCGTGGTTTGGGCAAGGCCTTCGCAGATCTGGGTTCGGCCGCGTCATCTGCAGAATGCAGGTGCAGATGCGTCAATCCTTAAGGCTGTCTTTGTGTGCGTGTCCTCGCACGCATGCGTGCCAGTGTGGCAGGCACGAGCATGTGGCCAGTCTGGAGTCGCGGGTCCAGGAACCTGCCGAGAGAGAGAGAGAGAGAGAGAGAGAGAGAGAGAGAGAGGGAGGTCCCTTCGTAAAACCCAACAACGCACGCCTCCGGGCAGCCCTCCCCAATCTGGGAGGTTAGGTGCAGAAAGAAAGAAAAGACGAGAGAGAAAAAGAGAGAGAGAGAGAGAGAGAGAGAGAGAGAGAGAGAGAGAGAGAGAGGGAGAGAGGGAGAGAGGGTTTAGGGTAGCCATTTTGGCTCAAGTCTGTGAGGGGAACCCGCCCCCCCAATCAGGCTTGAGTCAGCCGCGCCGCAGGCTCAAACTGTGAAGCCACTTCGCTCCGCCCCTACACCTCTAAGTTTTGGGCTTCGTTCGGGGGGCACATGTTCTTCAACTTGTCTTCGACTTGCCTTGGTCACTTCCATTGCTTTACGGGGACACCTTAACAAGGAGCTGAAGTGGGGGAACAGACAGGCGCATCGATTTCTGTACGCTGTTTTAGACCCGCATGCGTATGCAACATCCCTCCAGGACTCGTCACTTTCGGCATACCCTACCCCACCACATCACTTTGCCCTACCACGTCACATTCAGCTATAACCCCGCCTTTCCGCTATGGAGCACCATGATGCCACCGCTACCGCTGCACTGCCGACTACGACCGGGGAAGCCCTGGTGGAGACCGCCCTGCACCACATGAGGAAAGTCATCGAGTGGGTGGCCGAGAACTACACGCCACACCAAGCAGAGGACATCAGAGGGAGACTTCGGCAAGGGAGTGCAGATGAAATTACCCAGTGGTTCCAAGCAAGTATCAACGTCATTTCCCCCGTCAACAGTCAAGAACCTCCAACGCACCACAACGTCGGGGGCGAGTATGAACGGGGCGAAGGGGGAGCAGACCCCAATGATGAAGGAGCAGACTGGGGGGACAACACCGATGGGGAAGACACAACCGTGGGGCCATGTGAGACACCATCGGCTACCACAACCCGCGACCGCTCAGGAAAACCATGGAACGAGGAGGACGAGAAGAACACAAGAGCGACAGAGACCAAGGGAGCAGGCCATTTCGAGGACGACATCCTGGGGGAGCATGACGCAAGGCCATGTGCAACACCATCGGCCTCCAAGAAAGATGACACCAAGGGAACAGGCGACTTAGTGGACGACACCCTGAGGGAGCACACCAAAAGGCCATGTGAAACACCATCGGCCTCTAAGGAAAAGCCAACCCCACCAGGACAAGAAGAACGCCGAGGAGGTTACCGCACCAGACAGTCCAGTCAGAGAAGGGAGAGGCCACATGGAGAACAAAAGGCGAACAAACCAAAGGGAGAAGACACACGCGAACATCGACGAGATGAACCACAACAGCCGAGGAGGGATGAAGACGAATATGAGGAGGTGGCAGTTGACCCGGAAGACGTCACCAAGGCCGAGACCGAAAACTCGGGGGGCACCACAACAGGACGACTAAGACCAGCCGAACCCCAACATCCCCCGAGAAAACCTTGGTGGAGATTGCAGGCATCCCCGTTGCAAAGTATTGTCTCATCGCCAACGACATGGGAATCACTACAACGACAAGCTCGATGCCAAGCTCAGTCATCCGCATGTGAGCACGGCCGGGGAACAAACCGAGACTACCCAGCAGGAGCTCACCCAACACCGCAAAAACCGCCCACATGGGGAAAGCCAGGAAGACCATGTGAAACACCATCGGCTTCCAGGGCCAAACAGTATAGGGGCAACTATGAGGGAGAAAGTCGGTCGACTACAACAACGCGGAGATCACCCACGACCACAAGGCGACCACACACGGTGTATGGAGAGCCATGTGAAAGACCATCGGCTCGGAGGGAAGAGTCCCAACACCACGACAGACCACCCCTACCAAGGAAGAGAAGATTGGACAGAGCTGGGGGAGACACCTCAAGGAGCAGTGAAAATCTAGAAGACCAAATCAAGCGCCTGGCAAATCGAACAACGAAGTGACCCTCTACTACCTCGACCACGACATTCTCATCCACTGAGACCTGAATCGGGGACACAAGTGAGCCAAATAGGGAGAGAGGGAAACCAGCTGTGTAACAACCTTAAGGGGGATGTTTTCGGGACATAAGGGGAGACCGTAGCCAACCAATTAATCCAAGTGAGCGAAGCCTCACCGTACTGCACAATCAGCCGCCCTAGGGAAATCGCTTCTTCCCCTCCCTTCCCCTCGTGGGTCCCTGGGTGTTGTTCGGTTGATTTGGGGGATTTCGGTTGTTGGGGAAGGGAGGGACAATCTTCAAACCTCGTATTCTGTCTACAGCCCCAACCCACCAAAACTGTGGGGAGGGAACCACACCTACTCCACCCTGATTGTGGGGAGTATACCTAAGAGGAAGGTCTCAATTCGGGGCGGGGGCATATACCATTGGCTCCAAACATCACAGTGCACGCTTTTGCCTTCCTCATGTTTTGTCCTAAAGGGACGTTTTCGGCAGCTGGTGGGGAACACACACTTGTTCTACATGGTACCGTGGTTGGCACTACGTGGTGTTAGCTGTTGCTTCGTGATACCACCCACCACCTTCCAAACCTATCACACCAACAGACTCTGTATTGCTGGCCCCTTGGGGCGGTCCTTCCCCGCAAGGGGGGATCTTCGGCAGAGAGGGGGAGAGGGGGAGAGGGGGGAGAGGGGAGAGGGGAGAGGGGGAGAGGGGGGAGAGGGGAGAGGGGGAGAGGGGGGAGAGGGGGAGAGGGGGAGGGGGGACGGGGGGAGAGGGGGAGAGGGGAGGGGGGAGAGGGGAGAGGGGGAGAGGGGGAGAGGGGGAGAGGGGGAGAGGGGGAGAGAGGAGTCAGGTGTCCGCTACGTTTCCTCCCTGTTTTCACTCCACCCCCGCACACACTCGGAAAGGGGAAATGTCTCACACAGATCGGTGGAGCACGCCCCTTGAGGCGATCTCCCTTCGGGGGGATCATGTGTTCTGGAAGGAAGGAAGGAAGGCAGAGAGAGAGGGAGAGATGGTGCGCGCCACCGAGCATAGTGCCCGACCAAAGGGGTGCGATAGGGCGTAGAGTGTAGCTTCGTGGGGGCTGGGGAGGTTGACTTCGGCTGGATTGCAGGAAGGGTTGGGGATGTGGGGGAAAGGGTGAGTTGGATAGGGGTAGCGACTTAGCGGGGGCTTGGTGTAGTAGAAGGGTCGACAAGGGCCCGATTCCAAGCCCGAATCAATGAATGAATGAGAGAGGTCTGCACATTGTCCATTGAGTGCTTAAGCTGGGAGTGCCCTTTGCGACAAGCCCCTTCTTGGAACTGCAACCTTCGACTACGCAGGCATTTAGACAGCACGCGAAACAGCCGCGACAAACCCCGCGACATACGTATGAAACAAGTGGGCGCGACATACGTATGTAACACAGGTGGGGGTCGGGACACCGCGGCATACCCCTATTTAGAGCCACAGCCTGGAGAATTGGGAAGGAAGAAAGACCCGGAACCTGTCCCTACACTTCCAGATGCCGCCTCCATCCTCTGTCCTGACGGGGAGAGGGGGGGGGGGTGGAGGGGAGAGGGAAGGGGGAGAGTGAGGGGGGAGAGTGGGAGAGGGAGAGTGGGTGAGGGGGAAAGCGGGAGCGAGGGAGAGCGGGAGAGCGGGGAGAGCAGAAGAGCTGGGGAGAGCGGGAGAGCGGGGCAGACCGGGAGATCGGGGGAGAGCGGGGGAGAGCGAGAGCGGGAGGGAGCGTAGGAGCGGGAGGGAGCGGGAGCGAGAGAGCCGGGGAGAGAGCACAAGAGTGAGCAGGGCGGAGAGCAGGGGGGAGAGCAGGGGGGAGAGCGGGGGAGAGCGGGCGAGCTCAGGCCCAAAAAGATGGAGAGGCACAGCAGATAGTCAGTCAATCAAGTAATCTTGGGCGGGATGCGATGCGGCTTTTCGAGTGCTGGGTCTGGTTGCCAGGAGCTCGAGGCCATCCTATCCCAGAGAGATGGCGAGCTCCGCGAGTTGTGGGCACGGCTGAATGAGGTGCAAAGTGAAGACCAAGAGTCCTAGAGTGTTAGGCTTTGCTGTTTGATGTTTTGGGTTGGCTGATTCGTGGGCCACGACGTGGCGTGAATATCTTCGGTGGTGGTTATATGCACTTGTGGAGATCTTGTGGAGCTGCTAGCAATCTTGATCCGAGCCCCAGATCCTGAGCCAGAGCTACACGTGTCACCCTTGAACCCAGACAGCTCACAGGAAGGCCGGGGGCAGTCTCCAAGCAGCAGGGCCGTCGATCCACTTCCACCAGGGCATGGGCAGCCTTGGCCTGTCATCATTGCCTTTGATTTTTGTGCTTACTGTAGCTACATGTAGTTGCGTAGTTGTTCAGTATGGATTGGAGAACTTGTTTCCACAGCTCCTGTGGCCTGTCTGTTTAAGTTGGGCTGTTTTGAGGCTTGCAGATGCTATGGGCCCAGCTATCGACCATTGACTTCCCCGGTTGTTGTTCTTCTTCGTGCTGGCATCACAGCTTCTGGTCTTGTCGCAACGAGCCGTTGCTGCACGGAGAGCGCGAGCCAGCCTCTCAAAGCCAAAGGCCATGGGCTCGCGCGTGGTCTCTTGCAAAGCCGGCGGGCAGCCCGCTGTGTAGAAAGCCTCAATGCTCAGAGGAAACAAGGTTTTTTGTCAGGGTCTGACTAGCACACGCCTAGCTACCCTCTTGCAAGGTACAGTGTGAAGTAGAAGATTCGAGAGAGAGTATCCAGACAATGCTTCTGAAAAGCGCTGCATCCTTATCGAGGAGCGTGTCGCAGGGAGCACGGGAGGTTTGGGGAAAGATTGAGGTTTCGGATGTCTGCAAACTGGCAGGACTGGATGTGGGTTCAGGAAGCTGTAGCAGAACAACCTAACAACAAGACCGGGCAAATGTACGGAACCTGCCGCAACATCCGCAGTGCACAGAGACTTCAAAGATGAATGTAAAGATAGAAACCGAAGAACGAAGAACCTAATGTGGGAGCAAAACGCAAAGCCGCTAGTGCTCGGATCGCACGGGGCGACACGAGCAAGGAACGGTGGGCAAGCGAGGCACCCAAGCACAGGTGGAAAGCAACCCTGTGCCGGAGAGATCCTTTCTCACTGCGCGAAGTCGCTGTGAACCACGATCGTGTGGTCGCACCCCGTGACCTTCTTCGACACTAGCTCTCACATCATTCTCACATCATTCTCACATCGAAGGGTGTCGTTAAGCAGCGGTCGTGCAGCACCAAGACCTCAGACGATGCAGGTTACTCGCGATCGCATGCAGTTGCCTTGATTGAAATCACATCTAACCTTAAGCTGCAGACGTGTGGTGGTAGCAGTGGCCTCAGTCCTGATAGTGGAGAACCATGGTACTGTAAGTTCCAACTGCGTACCCATGCCATACGAGTTGTTGAGGGCTGTGAGTTCTGGAGGAAGCAGCTGAAGAGTTTGGGCCTCCTGGGCTGTGGAGGCTTCGGCTTCGTGGAGTCCTTCCCTCAGGACACTATGGACACTGCACAACAATGTGCAGCCAGAGGCGGTTCAGAAGGTTTGGGATGTTGGGGCTTGGTCGGCTTGGTCGGCTTGGTCGGCATGGTTCGTGTGGAGAGGGCCCGCTGAGGGCCCGTCCTCTGCTGTACATGCCTCTCTGCGGACAACATGAACGATGTCAGTCTTGCCAGTACAACGCGGCACACCTTGCACCAGACAAGTCATCACTCAATGGCTCGTGTGGCTCATGTGGCTCTGCGAAGCCGACGCAGTGCCATGCTAGGGCCAGGCATGCGAGAAATGTTGGAGAAACCTTCCTGAGAAGGCCTTTGACCTTCTGTCCCGCATAGACTGTCGACATCCCACTGAACCTACACTAGCAGCTACACGAAGTGTCAGCTACACTTCATCCCAGGCTGGTTGAGCACGAGCTGACCGCAGAGACATACGCGCTGAAGGCTATGCGACTCACTTCCAGAGCTGTTCAGGCGGAGTTGCCTCGTGTTCTCTGACACGTTACCCAGCTCCCAGGCGATCAGCAAGGGCTACATCGTGAAGAGTGGGATGAAGCAGAGCGTGCTTCAGGCCTGGAATGCAGACCGCCAGCAAGATTTGCACCATTCTTTGAGTCCTCTTTTTCAGGAGAAGGCAGTGCATATGCAATGCGAGTCCCTCTTCATTGTGAGGCTGTATGAGCGACTTGACAGCAATGGGTTGGAAAAATGCAGCAGAGCATTTTGCCAAGTTTCGGGCGAGTCCCCTCCCCCATCCTAAGGACATACAACTCGCCAGACAGCCGCGACCCCAGTGTGCTCTTTGCAGTGCAGCTTCAACTTCCGCCTTCCGCTCTTCTTTCTTTGGTGTGCGTGTGTGCTTGTGTGCTTGTGTGTGCTTTTGTGCGAATTCCCCCAGCGCCGAGAGCCGAATTTATGTGGGTCCTGCTAGATGTGCCAGACGGCCGAGATGCTGTTGGGTCTCCCTGTTGGTTCTCTCTGTTTTTGGCCTCCCTCTGTTGCAGTGCTCTACTTTCTGCTGGAAGCCGCGCTCGGCGGAGAGCTGTACGCGACGCCCGGAGCTGAGCTGTCTCTCCTCGCTGAAAAGCTGATTTGAGAGCAGTTCTGCCAGGTACAATCGGAAAGGGTTCTTCGGCAAGGACAGGCGCAGCAGAGGGCCAGAACTGGAGGGCTCGCAATTTGCGTGAGGCTTGAAGTTTTGCGGAATCTAGCTGCCCATTTCCACGCCTAGGCCTATGTGTGCGGATGCCTATGCAGTTCACAATGAGATGGCGTTCCATGATTTGAAGCCGTTTCAGTCATGGATAGCGCAAGGGGGTGGCATTGGACGAGCTCGAACTTCCGCACCGCAATCAATTGCTACACGAGAAGCTGCGAATTTCCTAAGTACTTGCCAGAGATGTCAGAGAACCACTGTTACGGACAGACACATGCACAGCAAAAGCCGAGAGATCTGTGTGCAATGACTTCGCGTGAAGCAGCATTGAGGCCAGGACCGGCAAGCATGGCAGTAGCACATTTGAGACGACGTGAAGCATGTGGCCTGCTTGTGGTGCAGCGCTAGAATCAGCGTATCTTGTTCATGTTCTGATGTGTCTGAAACCTCGAAGCCTCGAAGGGGGTGGGGAGTGCTTTCTGCTCGTGCTTGTCTTGAACGAAGAAAATGAGCAAAAACGGAGCCACAAGATGAAAGCTTGGAAGAAGGAGACCAAGAAGGAAGGCAGAGACGGACGATTGCCGTAAGCCCATACCTCTCCTGCATCAGCATTCAGCACTTCAAGACTTCAAGCTCCTACGTCCCAGAACCCGAAACAGACACGCAACGGGACGTGTGAGGGCGCGGCAATTTCCGAGACATGGGCATTGCGACAGGATAGAGGGCGTGTAGGCACGAAGCTTCGTCAGCATAAAGTACCGAGATGTACAAATGAACGGGTAAAGACTCCACAGGACCCCGCGCAACGAATCTTTGTGTTGCGGGGAAGCCTTGGAGCTCTTCATTTGCAAGCTTTGGAGGCACGATACAGTTGTGGTTCAAGAGCGCAGATTTGTAGCATTGTGATACGTTGTGTAGAGAGATGGGAGACAGCAGCCCGAGGACACAAAGAGGGACCCCTACGTAGGGATCCCGGGTGTAAGGCATCATGGGGCGTGTTTTGTGCATGAAACCAAGGCAACATTGGGCAATGTTGGGCATGAGGATGTTGCTCCCTGCGCCTTTTTTGCTCAAGGTGAATGCAAGGCAGCAGAACCCACACAGACGCGATATTTTAAACGCTCCTTTATGCTTACGACTTATTCTCGTTGCTTTCGGGTTTGCCCAACTTTCGGGTCACATGGAAATGCTCTGGGCTACTCTTTGACAAGCCCAGGACGATGAGAAGCAGCATGAGCAGCCTTCACCTTCGCCTTGCTTTTCTAGGTTTTTTGAGTTGGTGGGGTGCTTTTGGCACTCTGGCGGATGCGGCTGTCGCTCCGAAGGAGCAGAATGAGGCCGCCGAGGAATCAGACAATTCCTTTCATTCGAGTTGGCGTTCTACTGGAAGTGCTACTGGTTTTCCTAGGAAACTGTGGCCTCAAAAGCCTGTCAACGGAGAACCGCTCGACATGCACTTCGATGGCTTTCTTGTTTTCCTCTCAGTGATGGTGGCGGTTGTTGGGGCCTTTGTAACTTTGACGACCTCCTCGTATGTCCAGCTGGTACGGAGCTCATGCTGGTACACCGTGATGGTGCTGCAGTGTGGCCTAGGCCTCGGTGTTGCCACAGTTTGGTGTATGCATTTTGTGAGCATGCGGTCTTTCAAATTGTGTGCAGCTTTCATCTCCGATGCATCGATGGACGTGAGTTTCGAACTGGGTCTTACGCTGTTGTCAGCTGTTTCGTGCTGGCTTTTCTCCTGTTTGGCTGTTCATGTCTGCATTGGCCAAGTAACTGTCTTTCAGAGGGGCTTTCAGCGGGGTGTTCGTGTCCCTGCATCCGGAGCATTGCTTGCAGTTGGCATCGGGTCAATGCACTATCTTGGAATGCTGGCGGAGCGTGGCAGATTTGTCATAATCTATGACGGATGGCTGGTTTTGCTAAACGTCCTGCTGTGCTTTGTGTGCTCAACTGGCATGATGTGCATCGTGGCTTATCTCCCGAACCATACCAGATGGCGATGCGCCGGGTCTGTTCTGATGGCGATACTGGCCAGCACAGTGCACTACGCGGGCATGGCTCCTGTTGCACACATGGCTGATAGTGTAGGGATGACCTGGAGTTTCTTTGGACCTGCAGGCCTCAAAGACGTCACAGCCGAAGCCAGTGTCATCGTGTCCTTGTTCTGCGATGTGCTCTTGATGACGGGAAACGCTTTCTACCTAGAAAAAATCAAGGACCGTGAGAAGGAAGACATGGAGCAGGAGCTGGAGTATCAGCATTTTGTTGCAGATGCTGGCAGACTTATGAAGAAGTCCAGATCGATGCAGTTCCCCTTGGCACTCATTCGTGCAGATGATTTCGTGAAGTTAGGCAAGCTCGTTTCGCATGAGTCGCTGCGTGACAGGAAGCTTTTGATTATGCTAGATACGCCCAGGGCAGCAGCAAAGCTTCGCGGACAAGGTTGCATTATCTTCTTTTCGCACCAGTGGCTTTCCTCACTGTATCCGGATCCAGAGGGGCACCAGTTCAGTGAAATGAGCAGTGCGATCCAGGCGCTAATCATGAGAGTCAATGATTTGACCATGCACAACATCTTTGTTTGGGTCGATTACAGCAGCATTCCACAGTGTTCTGCGGAGCAGCAGCAACTTGCCATTAATTCCTTACCGGCCTACGTCTCAGCTTGTTCGGCATTCATCATTGTGGCTCCGCAGGTGCTGCATTCCGATGTCCACCGGATGTGTTCATTCGACAGCTATTCAGAGCGGTTTTGGTGCCGTCTGGAAGTGTGTTGTGCCGTTTTGACGGCATTGAGCCACCACCAGGCAACAAAAAGCACAGATGGGAGCTTCCTTGTGACTGGCAGCTTTGCCCGCACGGTGAGCCTTGATATGGTGCCAGTCTCATATGATGAGGAGGATGATCATAGACAGCGCCTTTACCTTGCTGGTGACAGAAAGCTCAAGCCTCTTGTGGTCATGGGCGAGGACGGCTTGCAAGACCATTTCGTCGATTTACTGCACGTGTACGGAGGTGAGTTGGACTGTTGCGCCCGGAACCACAAAACACTGACAGGAGAGGATGTGTCGTGTGACAAGCACCGTGTAGTACAGGCACTCTCGGGACTCTATGGCACTATGATGGTACAGATGCTTCGAATTCGTAGACAAAACAAGAGTGGAAACCATTTGCGACGCTTGCTGAATTTGGGCGAGATGTTCGTTCGAAATCGTGATGTCTACTTTCCCACGGCCTATTTTGGCACTCGTCTGGATGCCATGCACGAATACGTTCAGAACTTGTCCAAGTTTTGGCAGAGCTCAGCAAGTTCTTTGGAGTCACCGTCGACGCAGGATTCCATATGCTTTCGTGAGATGGTCGCCGATTTGGATGGAGACCAGCTTGGTGGTTCAAGCAATGCTGGCTCTGTGGCAGATATGGACGACACGGTGCTTCCACAGGAAGACCTCGACAGCCAAGTGACGCAGGATGCGATTGTGCGGGAGTCGGTCTGAGCCCCTAGGATTCTACGAATGCAGACAACCCATGTACACAACAGCACGGCTTCCTTCTGAACCTCTCAACATGTTTGCTAATTCGCAGGTGATTCTACTATGTCTACTACTGCAGAAAACGCATGCTAGGGGTTTGTCATGGATTCGAAGAGGGTCAGAACCTGATCATGATGATCATGCTGGTTTTGGCTCCAATTGCAACCTTCGGGCCGCAGGAACTGCGTGCTTGAGGGGTTGCTGTTCGCATGTCTTGCATGCGGAATGCGGGCTTCCGGGCCTGAGGCCAGGAAAGCCATGTCGATTGGCAACATGCTGTTGTCTGAAACTGTGCAGTGTTTTCAAAGCTCTGCTCGGATACCTTTTTCAAAAGAAATTTTCGACGAACGTGACATGGCACACCACCCTGTCCGATGTTATGTTTCACACCACTCAAGCACGCAGCTTGGCTGTTGGGTGGCCGGGTTTTTGAGGAGCAACGTGATGTGAAACTGCCTGCGGCGTTCGATCGGTGTGCTGTGCCTCGTGATTCTGTAATACTTGAAATGGAGCTTGACCTCGTTGCTTTGCTTCGCTGTGCAGGACAGTGGCTTTGACCCGTCTCTTGACAAGGAGACAGGCTACCACAAGAGGAGTATGACTGTAGTGCCGCAGATGCATTAGCATCGCTGGCCTAGTGTTGTGCAGGAGGTTGGTTGGGTGTTTTCCCGGATCGACTTTCAGGGTGTGCGTGCTTGTCAGTGTCACCAGGTTGCATTTGCAAGCCTTTCCTCTTGACGAGTTCAATACTGTACCTTTGCAGCCCTTGTGACAGCGGAGGACTCGAGGACGTTAAGTCGTTAGGCCTTCTGGGACATCTTGCAGAACGCAGAAGTCCAGGTCGGAGGTTGGAAGAGATACGCCGGGTGCGTATTGTGGAAGGCTAAGGTTGAAGCAATCCGGTTTCAAGTTCGAGGTGTTTGCGTGCCCCGTGAGCATGTGCATGTTTATGGTCATGTCTTGTTATAACCACTACTTGTACTAAGTACTACTATTATCACATTGCCCCGCCATCACTGAAAGCCGACGGCCGAATAAGCTCATAAGCCAATGAGCTGATCACCCGAGTCCAATATAGTCCAATAAGCCGATAAGCCAATACGAGTTGTATCGGCTTATCGGTTTGTCAACTTATGAGCTTGATTATTGGTTTATCGGCTTCCGTGTTCAGGCCAAAGAAGCACAAACAAGCACGCACACTGCTCTTTCCCAAGGGTGTGTGGTTTTTGGTGTATTTGGCAGAACTTAGGGGTGTCCAGCTTGCGGGCAAGTCACAGAGAACAGTCCAAATCCCGAAATCCCTAAGTCTTTGAACTTCCAGGGTCCGGTTTTGAAGGACTTGGCAGTTTCCTCGCTAGGGGAAAATGTTGTTTTAGATTTGCAGAAGCCATCTTATGGTTCTGCTCCCGCGTAGATTCGCAGAATCACCTTAACGCCACGTGACCCGCTTCGGCTCGGGGTCTCTTAAAGAGTGCTAAAGAGTGCTAAAGGGCTCGGTAAAGGGTTCGGTGAGTGAACGGGTGGGGGGGGAGGGGGAGGTCCACAGCACATAGCAGGGGTGCCACTTCTGGCCCAAAGTCCATTGGGGGTGGGCCGGCAGAACGATGGAGAAACGTTAATCCACATGTCCAAAGCTCTGGTTGTTGCGGGGCAGGGAAAAGGCGGGGAGCGCTTGGCGCTGGGCTTGGAGATGCCAACAAGTTCCGGATGCTAAGGGAGAGCAAGGATGAGCAAAGCAAGATGCAACAGCAACTGTTAGAAGGATGCCCATGGCCAAGACAGATTCAGATAGCATTAGCCAAGAGTCCGGTGACCATGCGGAGCCATGAGTACAATGAGTACTAAATTGACAGAGCAGCGCAGGTCAAAAGCTCGGTTCTAGACAGTTGCTAAGAACTCGCAGTCTGGATTGCAGCTGTTGCCTTTTCATCCTTTTCTGTGCAACAATCGATTGAACCAAGCTTCCGTCCGGAGCACTTGCCCAGGCTTGGCAACAATGGGCCGGGTGTACAGAGCGCAGTCCCCTCGAAGACCGGGGAGGTTCCCGTTCCGATGTGGCCAGGGCACCGAAGGTCTGCAGAATGGTCCGCAAAATGGAACGCAACGGTCTACAGGGCTCGGAGTTCCACGATCTGCGATATCACCTCTTGCTTTTCTCAAGCGTGCTGCACTGCAGCTGAAGGACAGCTTTGCAAAGTTCTACGTTGCCGGAGTGGTCTTGGCTTTTGACCATCTGCATGGACTCTCGGCCGCACGAGTTTGGGACGCCGGCGAGTTCCGTTTGCGATGCTGTAGATAAGCCCTCAGAAGTGCGAGTCGAGTCGTAAGCTCAAGATGCTTCATAGCCCTCTGACATGCTATGTTTTTCGCCAAAGGAAAGAAGATCCTCTACCGAGACCTGAAGCCGGACCTTCGACTCACGACATGCACTCGCTCTCAGCTCATAGACTCTTTCGTGCCCTCTTCACATTTTGAGCATACGACATGTGCCCTAATCTTGCCGGGAAGTGTTGAGTTAACTTAGAGGTAACGTAGAGAAACGTAGAGAAATCTATATGTCACAGTCATTTAGTCCTTCTTCTTCGCGAGAGTAGCGGGCAGTTGGCCTACTACTGGGGCTGTCTTGGCCTCGAACAGTTGAGCACCAATGCCGCCTGTACCGTGCAGTCAGCTTTCAAGGACACTGCTAGTGTGGTATAGCTGCTGCAATGTCATTGGCCGGCCTTGATGAAGAGCTTGCCAGAAAGATTCGTTCAGCCCGGCCAAAGCCCTCACGAACCCGGCGGGAAGCTTACATGGAGGGACAAGACCCGCAGCTTCGAGATGCAGCCGCCGCAGATGCCCTTCTGGTTGCTCGTGTGACAAGCCTGGCTCCACTCATGCATGCGATGCGAGTCGCCAGCAAGTCGATCCAGGCTGCTGCTGGCGGCCTGCAGCGGAGCACGAAGAGCATAGCTGCAGATGCCACATTTCACAAGCAGCTGAAGGACAAAGATCCTCCAGCAGCCGTTGGCACGAAAGCCATGATTGATGCATTCCAGGATATTGGACAGGCTTTGGCGGACCTGTCCTCCAACCTGTCAAGCAACATCCTGGCCCCGCTGGAAGCCCTCTCCAACAGCTTGAAGGTGGGATGATTGCCGGATAGGGGCATAGGGCAATGGCATAGGGACCAGCATCGAATAGGAACGAGACATGTCAAGCAGGGAGCGGAAGGATATAAAAAAGCATGCTGACAGGAGGAATGTGTGGATGAGCGGCTCAGGCTCTTGGAGCTGGATCAGCAGGACGAGATATCCCCAGATTTTGTAAATTTGTTGTAATTTGTTTAAGCTTCAGGTACCAGTAGATGCACCGGTGGCGAGGTGGTCTAGATCCTTTTGTTCCCTTGCCTGACTTCAGATTCAGGACATGCTTTGTTCCCGAGCAGTTGCAGAGACCTTGCGCCAGAAGGAGCGAGCTTCCGCCGAGCTGCAGGCCATTGCGCGCCAGGAGAACAGTCACAGCTGGTTCCGGAGGCCACAGTCGGCTCGCTTGGAGGAGGTGGCTGCCATGGAAACGGCAGTGGTGGAGGAACTTGCCAGCAAGATGGACCAACAAGCGGTTGTGAAACGAAGCAAGGAGCAATGCATGCAGCAGTTTCAATGCTCTCTGCGCGAGCTGGATGACAGGTGTGCGAATCACCTGCATACCATGGCTGACGACTTTAGCCGCGCGTGGCTGGGTGTTGCCGAGAGGATTGGGCAGGCAGCCGAGGCAGTCGCTGGCCAGCGCCGTTGTGACAAACCCATCGCGCAGCGAAACGAGTCCAAGCCCCAACCGCACAGCTGGGCGCCGGTGCCTGCAGCCCGCCATGAGCCATACCGTGAGCCGCGTGACCCTGGATCGCCGGCGGTGCAAACACAGCAGCATGCAGTGCAGCATGCGCAGCGCGCGCAAGACAGCGAGTTTCAGGAGGAGGCTTCAGCTCCCCAGATTGAGTTTGCTGCGACACCAAGTTCTCACACGGGGCACACGCGAGAGTCAAGCACAGGAAGCCAGGCTCGTGATGCAATGGTGGCTTCTACACTGGACAGCGAAGTTGCAGCTTTGGAGGCTTCTGTTGACTACACGTCGCCGAAAGACGCGCTCAAGGCGCTAGCGCCGCTAGCTCCTGAGGTGCACCAGGACAGCGAAGGCGAGCCAGAGGCGCAGCATGAGCCACATGAGCCACAGCAGCAACAGCACCAACAGCACCATAGCCATCACGGGCATCACGGGCATCACGGCCATCACTCTCGAGACTCTCCTCATTGTCTACAGTTTGAGTTCGACGAGAGGGTCCAAAAGCTTGGGTTCGAGGTCGTCTGGGCCGACCGGCCTTGTGTTGGCAGCGTCGTCCCAAATGGCGAGGCGGAGAGAGTGGGCTTGGTGGCCGGCGCGGTGATCACGGAGATGAACGGCATCTCCACTCTGAACAAGTCGCGCGACGAGCTGATGCCGCTCTTGAAGCTTCGGCCCTTGCGGCTGAATGCAGATGTTCCCGCATAGCCAGCTTGAGAAAAGATCCTTGTGCACTTTGTATACTTTGTACAGTAGCAACAAACTCATACGTGTACCTGCATCTGCAACGCCTGCACAAACTTCGGGGGTGGGGAGCCTCAGCGGCAGGAGAACTTGCTCCTCAATGACAAGGGGTGCGTGAAGCTCACAGACATGGGCCTGGCGAAGGCGTGGGAACGCAGTTGCGACAGCTGTGCACTGCGTGGCATGCTGGGATGCGCTAGGCTAGGGGGGGGACCCTCTCCAAGCAAAAAAGTAGCAAATAAAGAGTCGGGGATCCAAGGTGGGGTAATTACTTGCCGGCACCTACGGCCCGAGGCCTCGTTCGTGTTATCATGCGCCTGGTGCCAGATTTGTATCGGCAAGACCTACACTGCATGTGGCACGCCGGACTATTTCGCGCCAGAGTTGATCGCATCTACTGGCCCCAGTCCTGGAACTGCTTCATGAAACCGAGTCTGGATGCCTGTGTATGACTGTGTTCGCTGGAGCTGCTTTAGTCAGATGCAAGTTTGTGCGGATCATGTGTTCATGTGGCTCAGATGCGACCACATTGCTAAGTGTTTTCCAAGGTCACACAGTCGCGGTGGACTGGTGGACGCTGGGCATCTTTCTCTTTGAGTTGCTGAGTGCTGGCCTCGGCTTTTGCAGATGTCATGTTTTGTGGGGATGTCTGCCTCGTTGCAACGGCGCCTGCTCCTTGGAGTTATAGGCAGCTGTTTTGGGGGCAGTATGTGAGTTTCCCAATGCCTTTGCCAAGTCAAAGCTTTGGCGTCCCAGATGGCCCTTGACTTGTGTTGCGTCACACTGAGTGACACAAGTTAAGGGCTTGTTTGGGGGGAGTTTATAGCTGAGCCCTGGACTACCTAAGCCCTGAAAACCAAAGCCCGTAATCCTAAATATTTCTACCTTAAACCGCTATCCCACAGCCCAAACTTCAAATATCTCCGGCCTCAACCCCAAAACCGAAGACCAAATCCCAAATATCTCCACTTTAAACCCCAATCCCACTGCGCAAACTTCAAATGTCTCCAGCCTACCCCAAAACCGAAGCTAAAAATCCCAAGTATCTCGACCTTCGACTGCAATTTCAGAACACAAACTTCAAATTTCTCCGGCCTAAAGCCCAAACCAAAAATCCACAATCCCAAATATCTCCACCTCAAACCCCAAAGCACTTCTGATATCTGAGGACATGATCTGGAAGCAAGACCTCAAGAATAGAAAGCGATTTTTGCACGAAAGCCTGGCAGTCGTGTCAAAAACAGCAAAACCAGCATTCCGAAAACGCGGCGCGTTTTGCACGCAAAAAAAAGGTGTTTTTGCATAATCCAGTAAAAGCATAGTTCTTTAGACACTGGTTTTAACAGAGAAAGAGAGAAAGAGAGAAAGAGAGAAAGAGAGAAAGAGAGAAAGAGAGAAAGAGAGAAAGAGAGAAAGAGAGAAAGAGAGAAAGAGAGAAAGAGAGAAAGAGAGAAAGAGAGAAAGAGAGAAGGAGAGAAAGAGAGAAAGAGAGAAACAGAGAGAGAGAGAGAGAGAGAAAGGGAGAAAGAGAAAAAGAGAAAAGGAGAGAAAGAGAGAAAGAGAGAAAGAGAGAAAGAGAGAAAGAGAGAAAGAGAGAAGGAGAGAAAGAGAGAAAGAGAGAAAGAGAGAAAGAGAGAAAGAGAGAAAGAGAGAAAGAGAGAAAGAGAGAAAGAGAGAAAGAGAGAAGAGAGAAAGAGAGAAAGAGAGAAAGAGATAAAGAGAGAAAGAGAGAAAGAGAGAAAGAGAGAAAGAGAGAAAGAGAGAAAGAGAGAAAGAGAGAAAGAGAGAAAGAGAGAAAGAGAGAAAGAGAGAAAGAGAGAAAGAGAGAAAGAGAGAAAGAGAGACAGAGAGAAAGAGAGAAAGAGAGAGAGAGGAGCGGGTGTGGGAGTGAGAGTGGGAGTTGGAGTGGGAGTTGGAGTGGGAGTGGGAGTGGGAGTGGGAGTGGGAATGAGAATGGGAGTGGGAGGGAGGGGGAGAGAGAGAGAGAGAGAGAGAGAGAGCACCAGAATTCTGCGACATCAGGTGCGTCGTTTCTCGCGATCGTGCGCTATAATGTCGAGAAATGAGGTACCGATGCTCGCGTGCTGGCCGGCTCGCACACAAAAACTTACGCGCAGAGGGATGGCCGAGTGCGGAGGCTCGTGCCCTTATATATAAGCTCCGTGTGCAGATCCTCGGCCGGCTGTTCAGCATGTTGAACTCGTTGGTGTCTTGCAACTTCCCAGAGCACTCGGGCAAGGTGGTCACCCGCCATTTGAGTCTTCGTACCCCATGCAGCCAGGAGCCAAGTTGTGCTTCAGGCCTCCTGCATGTTGCGGCTGACCGCCACAGCCTCTGCAGCCGAAGCTTTAAGGACATACCAGAAAATTATGCGGGGCATCGCGAAGGCATGTTGCTTGCACAGAGATGAGAGGGATGCTGGACCTGTCATCGCGCACCCGCTTTGGGTTCAGGTGGCCTTCCCGCCAAAGTGCAAGGGTTCAGCCGAGGAGCGGGCAGCTGTGCGTGTTCACGGGCGCGGCCCTAAAGTCCTTGTGCGCCTGCGCACGTGAGTTCTTGGGTTCTCGGAGCCACCCTCAAAACCACAGAGGCCTGAGGCTGCCGACCAGTATGTATAACGATCCTAATTCAAGCCTGCAAGTGTTTGGGAGTGCTTTGTTGACCCTGGTGACGATGGTAGCGTAGCTGGCAGGACTTGGTCAAGAGCCTCTGCAAGCACGACCCCGCGGAGAGGCTTCCCATGAAGAAGGGTGGCAGCCGCAACATCAAGTCGCCGCTCAGACCCTCATGGGCAAATTCGGAGGCTTCCTTTTTTTGTTGGGCCATGGTGTTGGCAGACCGAGCCCGGGGGGTGGCGATTCTGTGGTGAGTGTTGAGTACATTTGAGTGCTTTGACGGCGCGCTTCGTCCAAGCTTTTCTTTCTTTTGATACTCACCGGTAAGGGCTGGCTTTTTCAGGCTGTGGAACGTGTAGCATTGTGCACCGATTGCATCTCTCTCCACTGTGTCTCCCATTCCGGCGTAGCCACCATTAGAGCAATCATGTCTCCAGCGAGGATGGGTGACATGTACGGTTGTAACTGGCCCAGCTTTTGAGCATTCGGGGACTGACCCGGGGGTTCAATTAGCGAACATGAGATTTTTATTGAAAGCATTGTCGAGCTCTTTGAATGGTAAGGCATCCCTTCTACAAGGGCTTCGACTGGGCGTCCTTCGAGTCGCTGAGGCCCTTCGTGAGAAGTCTAGTGGGGGCTTCTGGAGAAGAAAGAAGAGGTAGCACCAGGTAGCATCAGGTAGCGCCAGGTAGCGCCGGGTAGCACCAGGTAGCACCAGGTAGCAGGAACACAAATAAAGGGATGGAGCCTCTGGATGCTGTTAGGGATGCTTTTGGATTGTTCTTGCCGAGTATCTTGCGCGGCAAGCAGTTGGGCTCGAGCCGGCCTCCGTAATTTTCAGGCACCATGACCCGCAAGAAGTCTGGAGCGGGCCTGGGAAACTCGCTGGCCAATGACCGCCGAAAGCGTGCCGAGGGTTACAACGGTCACAAAGCCAGTGGGGTCCCAGAGGGCCAGGCGAACCGGTCAGTGCTCGAGCAAACCTCGCTGGATGACTTCATCGCCAAAGCGGAGAGCCTTGTATGCAAGACTGTAAAGGAGTCTCCCCGCAGTGGGCTTTCAGTGGCCTTTCAGGCCACTCTGCCCCAACCGAGGCTCGCAAAGGCGGACTTCCATGCCGCACGAGGCTGGGCCAGATTTCAGGAAAAAAGTTGGCCACCGAGGTGCAGCTATTGCAAGCCGTTGACCGTTAGGACTGCTAGGTAAGATTGCAGTTTTAGCCTGCTTGGACTGAGCTGAGATTTTGCGACTTGTCAGGTCAAGCTGTCGAGTGCACGACAGAGCCGTGGATTGCATTTTGTATTTGGGAGAGTTGGGGCCGTAATGTGTCTTGATTGGCTCGAGTTTGTTTCAAGGCTTGGTTGTCACCCCTGAGTTCTTGAGCTGCCAAGTGAGGAGATCATCTACAGAGCAGCGGCGGACCCAGCAACCACCCGAGAGACTTGTCACATTCATTTCCCGAGTTTTTCAGGGCTTCAAGCGACTGTCTTGTTTTTTTTTCAAGCTCAGGAGAAGGAGGCCGAGGCCAAGAAGGTGGATGTTCCCATCCCATGGCGCCCTCCCTGGCAGGAGGCCTTGATGGCCTGGCGAAAGGGACATGGGATGGTCTGTGGTGATTTTTGAAGTGTGAGCATTTGTGAGCTAATGTTGCACGGCCGTGGGATTCAGGCCTGTGAAGCAGCTTACGACATTGTGTCTCCGGAGTGTCACGAACATTCACGAACTGTCCGCTAGAAAAGCTCTGCGCGTCTTCTCTTATGTCTTTTGATGCTCTCGTGCGTTTTGTTGGGGCAAGGCTATGGTTCCGGTGTGGGGGACCTAGCAAGGCCAACAATGACCCATGCAAGGCCTCCTCTGCAGAAGAGTTGGCATCTGCCGAGGGGCAGGCCTTTCTCGAATGGAGGCCGGGCACTCTGAGCGATGAAATTCTGATTCGTGTTTCTCCGGTGCTGTTGCCGTTGCCTGTGTTTCGCCGGTTTTCAACCGCTCTTCTACTGTCGGACCCAATGAGCAGCCCCCTCATGAAGTTGATTGAGGGACGGAATCGTCGGGGTTCAGTTTCAGATGTTAGGGTAGGTGGTTCAGCATGGAGTGGCAAATCACACTTGCTGCGGTGGGTCAACGTGACTTGAGGCGAGGACTTGCAAAGCTTGAGGAGGAGGACGCAGTAGATCTATTTCAATCTCCCGGCATTGCATCGTCTTTGGATGCCTAATCCCAGTGTCGAAGCCCTTGAGGATGGCTTGGTCTTGACCCCCTACGAGCGAAATCTGGACTTCTGGCGCCAGCTCTGGCGCTGTGTCGAACGCAGTGATGTGCCTTTGAAGCCGTAGCTAAACGGCTTCTCCAGCCACATTTTCTGAAAAGCTTTGACTGCGACAGCCCTTCAGCCCTTCATGCCATGTGGATCCTTGCTCGATTAGCAGGTCCTCGTGCAGATCCTGGACGCCCGCGATCCGGAGTTCTACAGATGTAGAGATCTTGAACGGTACATCGAGCAGTTTCCGAACAAACGCCACCTCCTCCTGCTAAACAAGGCCGTGTTACAGAATAAGTTGTACTTTGTGCAGTTGTGCGAAAGGGACCTTGCATAGCTTTAACGCTATGCGACCCGCCTCGGCCTGTGAACCCGGCAGACTGCGTGAGGAACCTTCTGGGCATCACGGGGCGGACATAAGGGCAAGCATCGTGAGCCTCAGTTGGCCCTTGTTGGGCATCAGGGTGCCGGAACGGCAGGCGTCATCAGCATCACTTGGCTCGTCAGGCGGGCCAGACTAGCAAACGACTCCTAGCAGGGTCCATAGCAGGCAGAGGAAGGCTTAACGCCGGGGGGAGAGGGATCAAGGAGGTGGGTTGCCTGGGGCCACGGCGGATTTGCGCGAAGATGCCCGATAGCCGATGGACCAATCGACTCTCTGTAGGCAGATTTCCTGAACATGCAGCAGCGTGAGCAGTGGACGTCCTACTGGACCGACAAGGGCGTTGAGACAATCTTTTTCTCAGCCCTGCGGGAGCTTCACAAGCAGCAGCGTGCCTGTGCCTCCTCGTCTGCTCGAGATGCTCGAGCTCCCGAGGACGAAGACAGCGAAAGCGATCTCGACAGCGAACCGGACGACGAAGAATCCGTAAAGACCGAGGATGCGGAGAGCTCACGACGTCTCCCACCTCACGGTCCTCTGGAGGATGGTGGGATGAGCGGCGTAGCGGACTGCGCGCGTCTACTGGACGAGCTGCAAGCGCGCATGCCCCCTTCAAACGCTTCAAGGAGAGGCGTCGTGGGCTTTGTGGGCTACCCCAATGTTGGGAAAAGCTCCGTCATCAATGCTTTATTTGGGGCAAAGAAGGTTTCAATGAGCCGTACCCCTGGCAAGACCAAGCACCTGCAAACTCTAGAGCTCAGTGATTCAAACATCACTCTCTGCGACTGCCCCGGCCTAGTATTCCCGTCAGTGGTGGCCACCCGGGCCCACTTGGTCATCAACGGAACTGTTCCTCTGGATGAGCTGAGAGATTTCATCGATCCCATCCGGCTCATCGTCGGCAAGATAGGGCCTGAGCCGATCTTGCAGAGGCGGGGACGTGTTGAAGTTTTGCTGAAAGATGTTGAAAGCTGGGGAATCGTTTTGAATCCATGTGACGTCACATTCGAACGATTGGGAGGGGGACGGGGCCCCAGGTACGGCGTCAGCGCCTCGGAGGTTCCTCGCCCGCATTGGCATTTCTCTCCCACCCGATGACGTTTTTGCACACGTTGTGTGTTTTGGTTGCCGGGGCTTTGGTGTTTGGGATATTTTGGGATGCTGGGCTTTTCGTGAGGGTTGCTGTCATACTTGGCTAGATGCTGGGTCCATCCTGGTCCACGGAGGAGCTTTAAAACAAGTGACACGTGCGCATTTGGCATGTGATTTGCTGCTGCATTGCTGCTACCTGCCAACGGTTTTGTGCATGCCTCTACCATATCAACCAACCCACCCGAGTCCGTAGGCTGTCCGTAGGCTGTCCGTAGGCTGTCCGTAGGCTGTTCGAATGTTTGAAGCGGTGTGAAGGTCCGGGATGGTGCCATCCGCCGGGGTGTTGGCGAGGCCTCGGACGAGATGGCGCACCAGGTTCCGGGAAATGGAAACAGGGGAAGGGGGGCCCCATGCCTTCCAGCTCCACATTCGCTTTGACCTCTGAAGGTTCTCTGTGGCCTCGCAACGCACCGGCACCACTTCCTCAGAGTGGGGGTGCCAGATGAGACCTGGGCAGCCCGGAGGGTGCTCCGTGATTTCTGCTCCTTGGTCAGCACACCTTCAAAAAATTAGAGCCGACACAAGACGACAAACGAGTGTGCCGTTCTTTGTCCGTCCACAACTGCGCATGAACGTTTCGTGTGCCAGTCGGCGCCAATCGTAGATGACAACGCTATCTTGTTTGAAGGTGAACAGGCTTGATCATGTTGTTTCAGACAACCAGTACCAGCAGCCATGGTGAACGCGATGCCGTTTAAAGGGCAGTGCTCTTCTTATACAAATGTTTTCAAGTGATTCAAGGGAAGAGTTCCAAATGCCTGAGCAGCTTAGCAGGTTAGCAAGCGATGGCCCGAGGTACAGGGCAGCTGCTGCACTGCGAGCATCCGCCGGGCAGTGAATCCAGCAAGCAGATCCGCAATATTGGTAGGTGGCGATCTTGATTTTAGGTGCAAGGAACCTTTGCTGCTGCGCTCGCCTTTGTTTCAGATATCGCTGGACCAAGGCGTGGAGCCTCAGAGTCATCTCCTGAACGAGCAGGATGGTATGACAATTTCGTTCGCCTTCAGGCCATGTCAAGTTTGTGCCACTCCACACGTCTGAGCCAGGACTCCGAGTCAGACTTCAGCGATCTCGATGCATTCCTGGAGGCACCTTTGGGCCTCCAAGCCAAAACCAAGCCAAAACCAAACGCACTTTCCGAAACAAGTCTATGGCCAATGGCCGTGGTGCACGCATGTCTCCGCTTATTGGTGGTCTCCAGGCTGAAGGTTAATCTGCCACTTCCGGCAACTTGCAAATGAGCTGTGACGTGACTTCGCTCACATTCGCTCACCAATGAAAGCTGTTCAATCGAGAGGGTCGAACTGACTGGCTCGTTGCAGGAAGGAAAGGAGCGGAAGATGACGAAGCGCAAGATGCGCCACCTGCAAAAGCAGATGGACACAGCCCCAGTGGGACATGGGACTTGACTTGGTTCGGAGTCGGCATCCTGCGCATTTGTGGCCAAGCATGTCAAACCATGTCAAACTCTCAGAAGCCTGAGCACACCGCAACGCAGACACGAGCAATTCAGTGTGTGCTTGCAAGGCGAAGGGCGGCGTCATCGCCCCGCAGGCCTTAGAGAAGAGAAAGGGTGCGCAGTATGCTGGTAAGAACATTCGTGGGAAGACGGTGTTGGGATGAACAGGCAATAACAGGCAATACGTGCAATACCTGGAAAGAGAGCAGCTACAACGTATTCTCCCAAAATTCCCAAAGCTGTCCAGTGTCTCACCTTGGGTTGCCTGTACAGTATGGGCAAACTATGGGCAACATGCGCGGTGATTAAATCCTGCCTGGGGCGAGTTTCTGTGACCCCGTGGGTAAGACCGTGAGAGGACCCGCGCATCGCACACGCGTGTGGGCAGAAAGCGTTGCCACTTTGGTGACAGCACAGTTGCACCACGTTGCACCGCATCTCTCAAATGCTGGTAAACATCGACAGCCTTGCGCCTGAAGACGGGAAGAACCTTTGCAGTTATTTCATGCTATTTCCACCCTCAAGAAAAACACCCGCATGGAGTCAGCAGCTAAGCTAAGCCAGCCGTGAGTTCGAGGATGGCACCTCCGTACAGACCCATCGTCAAAAACAGGCGAGCGCACGCCTCAGCTTGACCTTGTCGCCAAAGGAACAGGAAGTAACTGGAAGCCAAGACGCGGAAGTCAGAAATGCTTTGCGCATCTTGCACACCACATCCTTGCAGGTCCAGGCGTGGTTGGAGTATCATACTATACGGTACCCATGTGCGACCTGTCCAAGGACTTCTCGAATTTCTCACAAGCCAAAGAGATGCCTCCGATGGTTCCATACGAGGAGCGAGTGAGAGCGAGTGCTTGAGGGCCCCAGGGATGTTGCTTGTAACGATGAATGTCAATGGAGCGCGATCGTTAAGTTGACAGGATGATGGGACCAAGTGGGATGTCGACTTTGCCACTTGTGGCTAGCGGCGGCTAGCGGCGGCTAGCGGCGGCTAGCGGCTAGTTGGGTCAGCTTCGCTCAGCTGGGGGCTTGGTCGGAACCCTCTCAAGCTGGAAGGCATCATGTTACATTGTTCCTTAGCCTCGAAGTGGCGACACCCCATGTTTCGCATTTCCCCATTTGCTGGGGTTTTGCCACAGCATCGCAGAGCAATACCCACGTGCAAGACTGCCTGGCCAATGGGTTCAGAGCTGGGAGCAGTTTCACTGCATTCATGGGCTCGGATGGCCACAGCGCACACAACGCACATTCTATGTGTATTGTGTCCTGCTAAGCACTAAAGCCTGTGCTGCTGGTGCCAAGCCCAAGTCTGCATGGCACTCCAACGAAGTTGCCAGTATCGTGTACTATCTATTACAGGTTGTCACCAAGGCCTTGTTGAGCCTGCGCGCGATGATGGTTCAATCCAAATGTGCAAATATGCACACTGGACAGACAGGCAGGAAGCCGGGTCCACAAGATAGATCTGCTGGCCGTGGCTGCTAATGCTCGGATGCTGAATTGCTCTTCGCAATGGCAGTGTACGCTAGTGAATCTAGTGAAGACCCGCTCTACCGGCTTTGCCGTTTTACCTGCAGAAGCAGTCCCCCGGTGGATACGGGTGTCTTGATTGAACGATTTTGCAGCGATGACTCTGGCAGAGTATCGGTATGCCCCATGCCGCAGGTCTTTCTTGAGGAAAGCCCGCGGCAGAACAAAATCGTGCCGTTAGGGTTTGGGACTTCCCGCTGGAGCATCCCGTGCTACCGTTGTCTATGCGAATGTCTTTCAGTTTTTCAGATAAGTTTGAGGTATACATTACATGGTATGCAGCCGCTGTAGGATTAATCCGCGTTCAGGGTAAAGAGGTCGTCGCCATGCAGACCGCGATGCCTCGAATCACCGTGTGTTTTCAAACTTTCATCGAGGCTGTCGGGGTGCAGCATGGTGCGGCAGTGCGGGATGTTTTTCGTGCCTCCGGGAATGCTTTGAGAAGCGACGCGGTGCCGTCGGTGCCTTGCCAAGCTAGGCCTGTGCGCTCCGAGACCCTGTGCGAGATACAAAGCCGTATGCCTAGTAACTTGCTCATCTTACACGTGACACGCCTGCTGCATGGTGACGTGACTTGACATGATCGCCTGCTGCGGGGTCAAGAGTTTGTGAGGTGTGCATGTGCCCTCCATGAACCACAAACCCTGGTACTTGCAACTTCTCTACTTGTTTTGGTCCTAGAAATCAGCAGAACCAGCTCTCAAGTGTCCAGTCGTCCTCCTGTCGCGCCATGGGGCCCTAGGCCCCCTACCTCCCCCCACCCCCCACACTCTGAGCCCCAGAACACCCAAACATGTCAAATCGCAGAATCTCACGGGGCTCTGGGACAGCTTCTCCTTCTTGCCAGAATTTCAAAGCCTTTTTTGGCGATGCCGTCACAGCCTGCGATGCCGGCGCGGCCTGCGATGCCGGCGCTAACTCTTGGTAGGCACGGCCAGGATGCGGCCATGCTGGCTCACCTCGGTAACCTCTCCTTGCAACTGCCAGGAAATGGTGGAACTGGGGTCCGGCGTTGATGCCCGTCATCGGCTGCATGGCACGGTCGATGAGATGCTGTGCAAAGTCTGGTGCATTGATTCGTTGATCACTCCTTCGAGCTGTGAACCTTCCCTTCCGTTTTGCCCGCTTTGGGGCCAAGGTGTGGCTCTGATATTGTTCAAAACCTTCATCATCATTATGGGACTTCAGCTCCTGCGCTATGCAGCCATCATGGAGTCCCGGAGAAAATGGAGGCGCGAGCAGTGTGCGAGCATGCGGTGCGAAGCCCTTCCTCTCAGAAGCCTCTCCAATGGAGCCTCTCCAAGGTTCCGACTCCTTGGCCTGTCAATGGCCATGGCCGTGGGACCCCTCTGTGAGGTGTCGGCCTATGCCTTTGCACCGCAGCCACTCTGCCGCAAATCGGATCGGTGGCTTTCGGTTTACGAGGCATTGGTGACAAGCGTTGGGGGGCCCCATCACGGAATAATTCGGTCCGGGAAAGCAAGTCACATCTGTCCCGGGTTACGAGGTCGCTTTTGGCTCCACTGGATGGCTTCGATGTCATTTGGAATATTCTGTCTGGAGCCTGGCTTGGCAGGTTACTGCAGTTTTGGGCTGGGTGTCTAAAGCTGGTAGCGAGCAAGCGCGCGAGGCGAGAACAGCAGAACCATGCCCAGGAGCTTGATTTTCATGATTGAGGTTGGCGCCGTACACCCTCGGTGAGAGCCTGACGAGCAGCAAACTGCTCGGGTCAGGCCAGCCGATCATGGAGTGTGAAGGTTGCAGCATGAGGGAAGAGACCCTGGCGATCACTGTCCCAAGGCTTTGTTTTTGCGGGCGCCGTGTCGGCTCCGATGTTCAGTCCTCACAGCAAGCCCCCGGAAACCTGACAGATCTCAGAGTTAGAGACGGAGGTGTTTGCAGCAGTGGAATTGGCTGTTTTGCTTTGTTGGCACTGAGTGGAACTGAGGAGACCATGGACGATCTCCGCGAGAAGTTCATCAGCCGATCGTTTCTCGGGCTGCTTTGCTTGGTTTGGAGCATGCACATGCATGCACTGCTGCTCTGAAGCCGACCGAAAGCCTTCTGAAAAAAACCGACGTAATGCCTCCGCGTAGTTTGAATGCGTCCCGCTTTGCAGCTGCAGTTCGAAGGTGGATCCTCGTCGGGACCTTGGTTTGCTCGTCATGGCTGGCAAATGGAACGGGACAAAGCTGTGGGTCTTTGGGATGCCGTCCACACCGCTGTCCTAAAGATGGCATGATCTGCGTTTAGGTGTGCATCTCCCTCGCTTGCTTCGCTTGCCTGACCATGCCGCCAAAGAATGGAATCTTGGCGCCAACCGGCACATGCAGCACTAATCGCTAATTGGTCTCTTGCATCTGTGTACTCCACAACCCCGAGTTTCACGACTCCTGTGAAAGCATTACTTCGATACTTCTCATTTCTACTAATTTCTCATGATGAAGAAACGATGGTTTGCAAGCGGTGGCAGCGTGGCTTTCGTTTGGTTTACCCAGGAACAGGAACAGCTTTGGGATGTTTTCGGTATGTTTTGAGTGACAAAGATAGAGATACTCTGCGTGTCGTTGCCCTGATGGCATTTTGTGGAAACGAACCCTGCAGCCAAGCTCGCTAGCCAAAAGGAAAGGAGTTACTGTGAGTAAGGCGCACAAGCAACCTTGGCATTCCCAAGTCCCGAACGCCTAAACAGGAGCAGTTGTGGCAAGCGGGTCTTTTTACCGAGGAATTCACGTTTTGAGGGAGTTTCACGGTCAACCTACTATTTGCAAAGTCCCGCAATAGTGCATCATGAGGCAGGACTATGGTGAAGGTTCCTCAGAAGAACGTGTTTCGCAGAACATGTTTCCAAAAGGGTTTAGGGAGCTCTGCACTTCTTCTTCGTATTCTTTTCTTGAGGCGCCTCATGTGAGCAATAATGAGAAGTGAAAGGCAAATCACTGAACCCTGTTTCCGATGCAGTTTGTCTTCAAGATAGAGCGACAATCTGAGGCGCGCGGCCGCCAGCCCGACGGGGGCTGCTGTTGGCCATGGCTGGGGGCTTCCTTGCCTCTAAGCTGAGAAAGCTCTCAGAAATTGTCAGATGAAATTGTCAGATGAACTTCTCGGCCTTGGCAAATCCTAGGGGCCGTGCCCAGGCTGGTCAGAGGTATTTCATGTCCTCGACTGCTACGGTGTTGCATACCTCTTTCGATGAGGCGAGGGTGGTTCCAGTGCCCAGCCTTGAGCCTGTCTGCACTCAGCCAGGGCAACTGGGATATGTGGTACGACCCGCTGGCCTACTTTATTCTAGGAGGCTTGGACACTTGAACATCTTGAACTTGACCTGATACTGCCGACAATCGTGTGGTTCGTCCTGCGCGCAGCACCTGGCTGCTTTATTGATGCGCCCCGCCGGGTGGCAGGTATGCTGTTTTGCGCGGCAATGAACGCAGTGCTGCTGAATAAAGGCTTGGCCGAGTTCGAGGCCATGACGCCTGCTTCAAGCCAGAGGATCGTGGTAATGATGATGATGATGATGATGATGATGATGATGATGATGATGATGGTGGTGGTGGTGGTGGTTGTGGTGGTGGTGATGGTGGTGTGTGTGTGTGTGTGTGTGTGTGTGTGTGTGTGTGTGTGTGTGTGTGTGTGTGTGTGTGTGTGTGTGTGTGTGTGTGTGTGTGTGTGTGTGTGTGTGTGTGTGTGTGTGTGTGTGTGTGTGTGTGTGTGTGTGTGTGTGTGTGTGTGTGTGTGTGTGTGTGTGTGTGTGTGTGTGTGTGTGTGTGTGTGTGTGTGTGTGTGTGTGTGTGTGTGTGTGTGTGTGTTGTTGTGTGTGTGTGTGTGTGTGTGGTGTGTGTGTGTGTGTGTGTGTGTGTGTGTGTGGTGTTGTGTGGGTGTGTTGTGTGTGTTGTGTGTGTGTGTGTGTGTGTGTGTGTGTGTGTGTGGGGTGTGTGTGTGTGTGTGTGTGTGTGTGTTGTGTGTGTGTGTGTGTGTTGTGTGTGTGTGTGTGTGTGTGTGTGTGTGTGTGGTGTGTTGTGTGTGTGTGGGTGTGTGTGTGTGTGTGTGTGTGTTGTGTGTGTGTGTGTGTGTGTGGTGTGTGTGTGGTGTGTGTGTGTGTGTGTGGGTGTGTGTGTGTGTGTGTGTGTGTGTGTGTGTGTGTGTGTGTGTGTGTGTGTGTGTGTGTGTGTGTGTGTGTGTGTGTGTGTGTGTGTGTTGTGCGTGGTGTGCGTGTTTGCGTGGTGTGTGCGTGTGCGCGTGGTGTGTGTGCGTGTGTGCGTGTGTGCGTGGTGTGCGTGTGTGCGTGTGTGCGTGTGTGCGTGTGTGCGTGTGTGCGTGTGTGCGTGTGTGCGTGTGTGCGTGTGTGCGTGTGTGCGTGTGTGCGTGTGCGTGTGTGCGTGTGTGCGTGTGTGCGTGTGTGCGTGTGTGCGTGTGTGCGTGTGTGCGTGTGTGCGTGTGTGCGTGTGTGAGTGTGTGCGTGTGTGCGTGTGTGCGTGTGTGCGTGTGTGCGTGTGTGCGTGTGTGCGTGTGTGCGTGTGTGCGTGCGTGTGTGCGTGTGTGCGTGTGTGCGTGTGTGCGTGTGTGCGTGTGTGCGTGTGTGCGTGTGTGCGTGTGTGCGTGTGTGCGTGTGTGCGTCGTGTGTGCGTGTGTGCGTGTGTGCGTGTGTGCGTGTGTGCGTGTGTGTGCGTGTGTGTGTGTGTGTGTGTGTGTGTAAACGCCTGAACATGGTGATCGCTGTGACTGACATTTCCATTTGCAGGGGGGCAGAGGGGGTGTGGGGGTGGCTCTGCCCGCCGAAGCTCCTCCCCACACCCCAGGTAAACGTACCTGCATTGGTCTGTGCCTGGACTCTGTCTAGAGTAGCTGGCAGGACCCTCACCCTCATTTTCATTTCCACTTCATTTCGCGTTGTACCATTCCTCTGAGTCTGGTACAGCGAGGCAGGACCCTACCTCATGTTTGCATCATCTCATCAAGTTTGCACATGCCATTCCTTGTGTCTGGCCTGTCTGGTAAAAAATCTTCATTTCACCTTCATGCCCCAAAACACCCTTAAGATTGCACACAGCATCAGTTCATGCCAAGCCAAAGTGTGTACCAGTTCTGGTTTTTCCCGACATGGGGCCAGATCTCAGGGGCATGTGCCCGAGCCCGCGATAGCGGATGAGTGAATCACAACGTTGCAGACGCTTGTTCTCATCCATCGGGATCATCTGCAGTAGGATGACATGTGCCCACAGTGGGCTTCATCGGGATCATCGGTCACTGCACGGTCAAGGGCCGCGGTCAAGGGTTGATCAGTAGAGACAGCTTGCTGAACATGTGCTTTCCCTAGGAGTGCAGGTAGGTCGTCTGTGCATGTGCAGGTAGGAGGACCAGGTAGGCACGCGCTCAAGGTTTCCGGAATCCTTAAACAGACATGTCATTGACTGTCCTCCCATGATGCTGTCTGACCCCCTGTTTTGTTGATTTCGCGTTTCTTGTTGCCTTCTGGTGTCGTTCCTGTTTTGTTGTCTCTGCCTCCTCTCTTGTTGCTGTTCATGACTGGCTTGCTGACACCAGCTTGCTTCTTCGCGTCCTTTTCGCCCTTCGGGGCGTGTGTGTGTGTGTAAACGCCTGAACATGGTGATCGCTGTGACTGACATTTCCATTTGCAGGGGGGCAGAGGGGGTGTGGGGGTGGCTCTGCCCGCCGAAGCTCCTCCCCCCCAGGTAAACGCACCTGCATTGGTCTGTGCCTGGACTCTGTCTAGAGTAGCTGGCAGGACCCTCACCCTCATTTTCATTTCCACTTCATTTCGCGTTGTACCATTCCTCTGAGTCTGGTACAGCGAGGCAGGACCCTACCTCATGTTTGCATCATCTCATCAAGTTTGCACATGCCATTCCTTGTGTCTGGCCTGTCTGGTAAAAAATCTTCATTTCACCTTCATGCCCCAAAACACCCTTAAGATTGCACACAGCATCAGTTCATGCCAAGCCAAAGTGTGTGTGTGTGTGTGTGTGTGTGTGTGTAACCTGCTGTACATGCAGGATTGGGGTCACGCCCGTTTTTCGATTTCATGCAGGGGGTCCCAGATCTGCTACTCACGCTGGGACCAACGAAGACCATGAGTAGCAGATGTGCAAACGTACCTGCTATGAGGAGTACCTGGGTGGTTGCGTCCGCAGCTGGTATCCTCAACGGGGACAGAAACCTCATCCCCGCAACGTGTTACATGTTGTCGTCAGCATGGCGCTTCCCAGACGACAACATATGCCATTCCTGGTGTCTGGCACGACGACGACACAAGGGACAGAACCCGCATCCCAACGATCATTCCGGTGGTCTGATCTGGGGCCTGAAACCTAGCCCAAACAATGACGACGATAGACACTGACTATGCTTGATGTTGTCCAGTCGAATGTCCGTCTCATCAGTTCCAGACAAGTCAACGTGTGTGTGTGTGTGTGTGTGTGTGGGTGCGTGGGTGTGTGTGGGTGCGTGGGTGTGTGTGGGTGCGTGGGTGTGTGTGGGTGCGTGGGTGTGTGTGGGTGCGTGGGTGCGTGGGTGCGTGGGTGCGTGGGTGCGTGGGTGCGTGGGTGCGTGCGTGCGTGGGTGGGTGGGTGGGTTGGGTGTGGGTTGGTGGGTGGGTGGTGGGGTGTGTGGTGTGTGGTGTGTGTGTGTGTGTGTGTGTGTGTGTGTGTCTGTGTGTCTGTGTGTCTGTGTGTCTGTGTGTCTGTGTGTCTGTGTGTCTGTGTGTCTGTGTGTCTGTGTGTCTGTGTGTCTGTGTGTCTGTGTGTCTGTGTGTCTGTGTGTCTGTGTGTGTGTGTGTGTCTGTGCATTTTGTTATGCATTTTTGAATCTTTGTGACCGTAATCCAGATTTCCAGTCTTCGACACCAAGTGTGGATTATACCCTATTAATTAGTATCCATTGAGACTAAGGATGATGATTCCAACGTTTGTGGGCTTCACTGCTGCAAAGAGACTGCCGGTTGAGAGAACGGCTTGTTTAGCAGACTGACCTCATGCGATGGCGTCCGACTGTAATGCTTGCGGTGACCATGGTAGCCGCAGCCAGCAAACTTTGATGGCAGTATCCAGGCCTGAAACCATGAATCTATCTCTCAGGAACTTCAATCGTGACGACGAGTGTTTCGGCAGCCGTAATCTTGAAAGAGACGGCGACGCTCATAGCTTGGAGGCTCCGGGTGAGGGCTGCTCTCAAGGCCCGCTCAGGCTTCAGAACATTCAGAGTAATCACGCGCAAGACTCGGAAGGTTGCTCGGCTACTGGTTCGGCATTCTTCTCGTCGTGACTGGCCTCGTTATCATCGCGAGGGACTTGCAAGTCGAACAACCAGAGCTGTCATCAGTTGAGCGGTTGAAGCCTCGTTTGGGGTATTTGTGGTAGTAAAACCGTCTGTGTTGCTGCTTCGCAGGATGCTCGGCGACAGCAGCCTGGCGGAAATCATGCTCTCATTGAGTAGTCGGTCATCAATGTTAGCCCTCAAGCTTGCGTCTGCGAAACAACCTTTGCTAGGGCATTATGGGAAGCTTCTTGGCAGTAGAGGGTCCTATCAGACTAGACCCAGTTGCAGAGTTGAGAAGGCTCGACGGCTGCGAAGATGCCTCCGGGCAGCAGGCCGAATTTGCTTTTGGGATGAAGTGGATTCTAGCTTTCATTTCAGGATCTTTCGGTTTGAAGCCTGAGCTTTCAGCAGGAGCCGCATTCCGAATCATTCCGACATTCCCAGCTGCCCTCAGCTGCCCCTAGCGCAGTGGCAACTAAGCATTTTGCAGAGGCAGAGCGACGGCTAATGGGCATCCCGACGGAGCAGAGCCGCGTGGTGGTGCCGGTGGACATCGCTGTAGCGCCTCGGTGCAATCCCCCAGTCGTTTGTTTGGCATGCCTGTGCTTTGCTTGACGCCTGTTGCTTCTGGAGGGCATGAAACTGCCCTCTGCTCCTGAGCAACTACGCAACCCATCTAAGCCATAGCTGCATACACAAAGCGCAAACGTTCGCAAGAGCCTCTGGCTCAGCCACTGAGTGTGCCTTGCGAGTAAGGCATGTAAGCCATGCAAGCGTAGCCTCTATTCACGGGAAATGCGAGTAGTGACAAATGATGTGGTTGCCAGAGGCCGCACGTAATACAGCTGCTACAGAAACGGTAGTTGCGAGTTGGATACGCTCCATCGACCCAACTGAAGGTTTCCATTTAGGTTCTCTTGCATGCGGCCGGACAATCCGACGACTTGTCTTTGACAAACGTTTGTTTCTCTTCCTCAAATCAATCACACATGTCGATTTGCGTACCTGTACCGAAGGCAATTCCAGCTTCTTTCGGGGATGTTTTCACCATGTTCCGCCTCCTTTGCCCTGGCGATCGAAACAAAACACGAACAAGGATCTAGGGCCGGTGTGCGTGAACCCAATTAGCTGCAGAAGGGGCCCAGGGTCTACAGATGTCATCACTTTCGAGATGTTGGCCGCAGAGCGTCATAGGCAAAATGTGTGCTGTTGTGAATGCACTCTGTAGGCAGTGCTGAGGAGTACTGGTTTGACTCATGACTTCGAAGTGGGAGATGCAAAAAACCCTGGCAGGCGTGCCGTTTTCAGAGCACACCCGATAAAGTCCTCAATGCGAAGGCTACGTTCGGACAAGCGCGTCTTGTTCCAGAAGCGTCAAATTCGTTGTACAGTCTGGCGTAAAGGCGACCAAGCGCTGTACACACCAGTGATTTGGGCATGTTCACAAAAGGCATACAGCTTGTGACTGTGCGTCGCGCCCCCGAAATGTCAAACATCCTTGTGCCGTATGTTGCAAAAGAGGCACAGGGGCCGCGTTTTGGGCATGTTCGCGAAAAGGCATGAATGCTTGTGGCAGCAAGTCGTGTTCCCGAAATGTGTGCCGTAAATATGTTGTAGATAAGGGCCAAAAGCGCTCTCATGTCCAGTGTTTTGGGCATGTTCGCGAAAAGGCATGACTCTTGTTTCTGCAGGTCGCGCCCCGAAACGCCAAACATCCTTGTGCCGTATGTGGTAGAAAGAGGCAAAAACTGTCAATTCCAGTGCTTTTTTGCATGGTCGGTCGCCATGTGGCTGGACGTGATGATCTCCCCCCAACCAAGCCCCGCAACTCCGCAACAGCCCAACCAAAGCCCGAAAGCCTCAGAGACCTTGCGGCCACGGCTATCGCCATGAGCAGAAACTCTTTTTGACTATGTCAACTTCAACTTTTCTTGGAAGGCGGACTGAGAGCTGAGCTGCGACGGCGAGAAGAGAAGGCCGGTGGCCAGTCGTTCCAGATCCGAGTTATGCGAGAAGGGTAGCAAATACGGATGTGGCTGTGGGTGTGGCTGGATGACGGCAAGCTAAGGCTGAGGCTTTGGCAGCTGCCGGCTTCCTCCGTTTTGCCAGACTGTGGCCCGGCCTGCTTGGGGCAGAGTCCTCTTCTGCTGCTAGTGTAGAATGTGTAGAGTCGAGAGCCTGTGGAGCTGCCGCGGAGCCGTTGCAGAGCTGCTGTGCAGAGCTGCTGTTGCACCCCAACACCATCATTTAGGCCAAACGGGTGGGACTTGCAGAATTAGAGAACCCTTCCCGTGTTAGCAGCAATGAGCAGCGTTTTCCGGAAACGGCCTTGGTTTGATTCGCCATGGCCAAGTTTTTAATGTGCAGTTGCGACTTTGGCAAAGGAGCCTCCAGGAGGTCACCGTTCAGGAATGCCTGATGCTGGGCTCATATGCGCGAGTTTCCGGGAGCCCCCGTCAGCGCCACCGCATCGCAGTCCGAGTAGACATAGGTCAGGTCGAAAGCTGGGCAGCTTCAAAACAAAGGTGGCGTCCGACAGTGGAAATGCAAAGGCAAGTTGCAGATTGGCATGCAACTTGTGCCAGATCTGTGCCAATGGGCATGGATTTTCTTAAGGCTAGCGCCTGCCTATGGCCAGCGACAACATAAGCCTGTGTCAGCACGTGCCGTCAAAAAAACGAGCAGCTGCAGAGATGAACCTTGCCACCACAGCAAGTGGTAGCATGATGTACAGAGTTTGTAGCTATCATAGGTTTGTGCTTAAACCAGTGTCGGGCTTCTGTGAATGTAGCTGTTTTGCTTCAGCAATCGCGATTTGTGAGTGCGCTTGGGTAGCGACAGCCACAGCTGCTGCCATGAGCCGAGTTTGCATCGCATTGAGCCTTTTGATTGCCTTGGTCAAGGGAAACCTGCGGGGCGCCGAGCCGGGGCCAAAATGTGTTGGTAAGGACAGCACCTGCAACCCTACGGCAAACAGCTGTTGCCAGGGGCCAGGGTTGATGACGTGCCGCTTGCGCCCGAGCGACATTGCAGGCGACGAGGGCATGGCCTACAAATGTGATGAGGAGTTTCCCAAGCAGTCGCTGCCGGACCCCAGCTGCACGCCGGAAGGCCAAGAGTGCTCTTCCGACCTCAGTTGCTGCAACCCATTCGACGCCTTCGACCGCAGCATCTCCATGACCTGCCAGCCTGATGACGGGCCGAAGAAGCGCCGGATCTGCAAGAAAAACGTCGAGAATCTGGGTGCTGAAGCGGCTTGCGTGCTGGAGGGGAACAGCTGCAACCCCTTGGAGAACAAGTGCTGCCAGGATTCGCATGGCCTGGGGCTTGGTGAGATGCAGCGTAGGCAAACACAGAACTTAGAAGCTCATTCTGCTCGACAGAGTCAATAGCACGATGTGACACTGAGGCACAAAGGCACTGCGAACCTGTCAGCTCAAGTTTCTGGAGCTTCCCGGAGAGCACAGCATGGCATACACGTGTGCCAAGGAAGCTTAGGCTTTGATGTCTAAAAGGCTCAAGATGGTCGCAGGTGCCCGCATTGTGGATTTGTGTTGCCCTTTGTTACCGTATGCTGTTTGCCAAGTCATCGTTGCGCGGCCGTCTTGGGCCAGAGGTGTCAGGTGTGGCGTAGGGAAGGATAGGCATCTTTGAGTGACAGGAAGTCTCGGGTGCCTCGGAGTTTACTCCGTTTGGGTCTAGGCCTGGCGAGTTGACAGTGATGGACGCCAGAGGGGCTCAGCACGTGCTGTTCCCGGCCTGGATCCAAGAACTTTTGGGAATTAAGCTGCATGCCCAACGCTGAGAGGCAACACAAAGTTCGCCCCAGCAGATTAAAGGGGCAAATGGTTGCAGTTGAGCCTCTCATGATGGGAGCACGAGACTCCCAGGTTTTGCAGTAGGATGCAGTAGGTTTTGCTGACGCCCTGAAGCCAGCCGGACTTGCCTTCTTGCCTAGGTGCAATCATGTAATTATGTGTTCTGCACCTACATATGTGTATGTATGTGTGTATATATATATATATATATATACGTATATACCTACACAGGGTAGCCCCACAACCCCCCCCCCCCCCCCCCCCCGCCCTCCACCCGCCTATGTGCCAGCAGCATGTGCCGGCCTTCCTGTTTGCCGCTTGCTGCTGCATCTCGTTCACATTCAGCACGTGTTCTGGTTTTGGCATAGGGTCTTAATGACGCGGCTTCGGCCGCACTGGCTGAGGGTTCAGAAACGTGAGCATGGGTTGGGACTGCAAGAATGCTGTGCTGCCCGCTACAATGCCACTGGTTCAATTTGAGTACAAGGACAGCATGTTGTGGCATCCAAAAAGCCAAAAACGAAACAACCAACACCACAAACGTCAGAGACAGCAGATCATGTTTTGCGTAGGTTTGCAGGAAAAGAAGGTCTTTAGTGCAAAAGAAGGCAGTGCAGCATTTTTGCAGTTACAGGCTTCTAAGGTGCTGCACTGTCGGAAGCATGTGTTTGCGTTAAAATGGTGCTGTCCAGACCAATTCGTGCCCCAGGTCTCTGCATACTGTGTTCTGGTCACTTAGGTGTTTAACGTTGTGTCTAAGGTTTGAAGTGTTTACGCAGGATTTCGGGGTTATGCCCGGCAAGACTTCCCAGAGCCCTGGATGTGAAAGGGTTTAAGGTTTTCCAGGTTTAGGGATTCGGGCTTTAGGGTTGTAGGGTATAGCGTTTGCGTCTGAGGGCTTGGGGGGGGGGGGAGGTTGGGAGGTTGGGGAGTAGGGATACAATGGTGGGGATGCCATCGGGGCGGGGGGTGAAAGCCAAAGCAGCAACACGATTGACAAACAACATTGTGTTCGGCGTAGTGGGCGAAGACCCAACTGGCATGTTTGGTAACGGCAGGGTCAGCAGCCTTGAGCCTGCAAGGCTGATTTAAACAAGGGCAGCCCTCGGCACCCCTTCACTGGCCATAGACAGTTCGTACATGTTGCTTTGCTGCAGGCTTACGTTGGGTTGCTTGCTTCTTGTGACCACAGTCCAGCACAGCTAGGAGGTGTTGAAGGCCAGCCCTTGAGCAATGAGTCATTGATGCTCGGTCAACAGAGGCGTAGGCCCTCTTTTGGAGCCTTCGAGCCGGATCAAGCTGGGAGACAAACAGCCTGCTCTAAGCTGCCGATAACATGCAATGTCACTTGCAGATGTGGCTTGGGAGGAATGTGGTTGAAACGGATATGCCACGTTGGCGTGATGCTGCACATACAAGTGCGCATCTGAAGAGAGACATGCAGTCCGAGTGGAAACGTTTACGAGGCTTGGTTTGGCTTAATGCGCAGAACCAATACACATCATCTGGACACCCCTGACGCCATCGGGCAGCAACTGATGGCCGTGAGCCATGAACTGACCAAATTTCCGGGCATTGTGACGACAGCCACTTGAGATTCGATGTAGAAGCTTTCCACTTGTCATGCTGTGAGAGCCACGAGCCCGCGTTCGCGTCGCTTGCGGCGCTGGGCCTGAGTGCTATGGAAGAGTGGCGACGTCGGAGTCTTGAGAGTTCCGATTGGTTCTAATATGCAAGGTCCCTTCCATGCAGTCTTTAGCACCCTGGGAGCCAGGCTCGATGCCCTCATGGCCTTGTAAAGCTGCGAAGGGGTATTCGCCCAACGAGGTTGGGCTTCTTTTTTTGGATCCCAGGCAACACTTCCTTTCTTCTTGTCGGACTGAAGCTGCCCATGGAGGTTATCCAGCGACTTGAGATTTGAAGAAACAGGCTCAGGACATTAACCGAGCCGCAGCTGTTTCTGAGCATCTTGCTTGCAGGAGACGCGCTGCTCGTGCAGGACGCGCCAAGCTGCTGGAGAAGGAAGCAACCGGCGGTTACAAGAACCTCGCAATGACCTCGAGCAGCCAAGGCCGGGTTGCAGGCCTCAGATTGTATAGCTTATGTTTGCCCAAAAGGCATCATGATCACATGTCATGTAGGAGAAGTTAGATGAAGCGGAAGAGCTGGAGAGACTTGGCTGAAGATTTGGATGTGTATCTGTACCTCGTCCAGAGTCCTGTCCTGTCTTGACCCGCAGCTGTTCAAGCATCGTCGATGTTACTGGGCGATGCTGGGCGGCAGCCACGTTCTCGGCGTGGAGAACGACCAATTATTGGGTTGCGACTCGGGCATAGCGTGAGATTGCCTGGATGTGCTGGTTTGGGGGCCGTTTGCCGTTGCTGATCCTACTCCTGCGGGATGCAGCCGGTGGCTGGGAGCAATTTGATCCGCTGGGCTCGGACGTCGGTCATATAATAATTACAAAATAGGTCTCGCCTGTAGAATCGTTTTGTTTTCGATGTTGGAAGGTACAAGCTTGGCATTGCATGCGCTCTTGCGGCATCGGGTGGTGGCCAAGGACAATGCTGCCTGGCATGCATGCAACGTTAAATAAGCAAACGAAAAAATCAACAAATACATAAAGTCTATCTATCTGTCTGTCCATGCCCTTTTCGATGCCCTCCGAGGTCAGCATGCTCCTAGCACAGCCGATGGTTTCCGCGAAGGAGTGCAACCAAACAGCTCAAAAAGATTTAAAGAAGTATCTGGAAGCTGCGCCAGGTGCATGTCAGGAACACCTGAGACACTATTACTGCCAGCTAATTCAAGATTCTCAGAGCTTCAATACATGCGCTAACTTGACGGACGAGCAAGGTCTACAGTACTTCGAATGCATTGCGCGACCCATTCAAGGACAACAAAGTCTACGTGAGCCTTTTACTTCACAGTGTCCTCTGGACAAGCCAGTCTCTTCCGGCAAAGGTCTCAAGGCTTCAAAGCGGATGTCGTCATTCAAGTTGGAGGTGCCTGCTGCGGATCTACGCATTGCATTCCTCATTGTCGCCCATCGAGCCGTGGAGAACGTGCAGCGCCTTTTGCAGCGTATCTATTCTTCAAGCCATTTCTACTTGATCCACGTAGATCGAAAGTCTCCCATCGTGAAGGCCCAACTGGACAGCTACCTTGAGAGCTTCCAGCAAGCCCAAACCTTCTCAGAAGTTGATGTGACAAAGGGAAGCAGCGATCTGCTTCGAGTCAGCATGCTGGGCCTTCGGCGGCTCTTGAAGTTGCCGCCTTGGCAGTACTTCGTGAAACTGAGCGAGTTTGATTATCCTGTGGCCCCGCTTCAGGCCTTGCAGCATTACCTTTGGTTGCACAAGGGCCTCAACCTTGTCGGTTTGGATGCATGCTCAGCGTCCACATGTTCTCGACATTTGGGCACGTCCTGCGCTGGGGCTACCTACAGTTTCGTGTCGATGCTCCGGATGCACAAGCCACTGTCCTTTGGCATGCGGTTTGCTCGCGGGAGCGAGTGGGTGGCTCTGACGGTTGAATTCGCCAAGTATTTAGCCACAGAAATAGAGAAGCCATCTTCTGCCATGCGCGAGGTTTGGGACGATGCTTTGCTGCTGTATCAGCCAGACGAAACCTTCTTTCAGACTGCTATTCTCAACTCGCCATTCTGCCAACGTCACATGAACATGATTCTGCACCACGTCCCCGCCGTGCAAGAGCGGAGGACTCATGGTGCGCATGATGAGATCGGCACACGCAGTCCTGCGGATTTTTCACAGCTAGATTTGGCTCTTCTTTTGGATGCCCGTCAGCATTCCCAACCTCGATTTTTTGCGAGGAAATTCCCTAACATGACAGAGCAGCCGGCAGTTGAGCTCTGCCGCCAACTGGACAACATCATGCACGAACGGGCCTATGACATGTCAAAACGGCCGTGGCAAGGCTTGCAATCCTGGCTGGCAGGAAACTTCACTAAGTGGGCTCGCCTGGCAGGACTTACAGAAGATCTAGCCTGTCCGGTGGACGGATCTGGCACAGACACATGCACAGAGAATGGCCATGTCCAATTGGTCGGTCGCTTAGGTGCCACAAAGCCCACGATGGCACCAACCGTGTCTAGCATGTGGTCACCTGAGACATGGGTGCTACGAGTTGCCGGAGAGTCAAGTGTTGCACTGTTGGAGAGGTTTGCGGTGCCAGCTGTGCCAAGTGGATCGCTCAGACCGCCGCCATGGAGTATGATGGGCGTGTCTCTTTTGGCAGCAAGGGTCGGCACTGGCTGGATAGCGGAGCGTGGTGAATTCGAAGGTCATGTCAACGTGGTTCCGCTAACCAGCTGTTCTGCAAGAGATGTGCAGCTTGCCATTTACTGGGCCCCACACGTGCCGAACCTTGAAGCGGACATTCAGGTCATGGTTGAGTGGCTAGCACCTGATGGCCAGTACTGCGGTCAGGTCAATGCACAGCTGGTTGGGTGCCCTGTGCGAGTAAGCCTTCCACGTGCATGCGCTCGTACCGCGCGACCGGGGACGTGGACAACCAAAATGCACCTCCAGGATTTAAAAAACAAAATTCCAGCTAAGAGGGCGCTGGCATTCCGTGAGTTCATTGTGTATTCTAACTTCACAGACGTGTCCGTGCTGCAGATGCAGCGCTTTTTCGAGCTGCGGAGCATTCGCAAATCAGAATGGGACGCCAAGGACCTTCTGCAAAAAGTCGCGACGTGATCAGGTTATCGGTGCAGCGCCAACTTTGGGTTTCTCCGTGATGGTATCCGGCTTGAGCTTGAGCCTTCAGGAAAGTGGAGAAAAGGAAACGGCTGGAGGACATGACGCTGCAGGTTTGTGAAGTGCGCGCCGGGCCGAGCGATATATTGCATCGCAGCTTGTGCATCGTTGGGCAGTTGGATTGGATAGTATTGGTCGTTGCTAAGACAGCAACATGTCGTTTAGCATGCGCCTAGGCAGAGCTAATTTTAACGCTACGCGACCCGCCTCGGCCCGGCCCAAGTGCATCTGCGTGAGCATGGTGATTCCGCGGCGCCCAAGTCGCTGGACCCCAAGCAATAAGGGTTGGGTTTAGGGTTTAGGGTTCCGGGTTTATGGTTTATGGTTCGGGGTTTAGGGTTGAGGGTTAGTGAAGGGTTGAGGGCTTGGGGCTCAAGGTTCAAAGTTTGGGGTTTGGGGGCAGGGGCAGGGCGGGGGGGGGGGGGGGGGGGGGGAAAGGGGGGGGGGCTTGAGGCCCACGCTCAGGGTGGCCAAAGCAGGCTTCCGGGGGGTGGGTGGTAACGTACGGGTACAGGGCCTGGTAATAGGCCCGTTAACAGGCTCTTTAATAGGCCCCAATACAGGCATACAAGGTTCTGTGATGCTTGAGCAGTCTCCAAGCTCTTACGGATTGGTTACTTGCTTTCATTTTTGTTGTCATCACACAAGCATCTTGTCTGTACAGCTCATACCAACCTGAAACTGTACGTAAGGGGGCGGGGTGGGGAGGTGGGGGGGTTGGCTGGGACGGGCTTGGTGTGGCCAAAGCAGGCTTCCGGGTGGACATGGGGGTGCAGCGGGGGTAGGGGGGGGGTCGGTAGGGGGGGGGGTGGGATTTTTTTGCATCCACTCCCTATACCCGGGCCCAAATCCCCCCTGGTCCGGGCACGTCGGCCGCGGCTGGATACAGTTCGACTACGGCAGGTACTCACCCCAGACAAAAAAAGGGGTCCGAAAATGGGCTGGGAGGGCATACACCTTCGGCCCGGCCCGAGGCCTCGGCGGATTTCTACGGATGCTTGCAGATGCAAAGTACAAAGTGCAGAATGGGTTGATGTCCACGAAGGATAGCCTGCGGATGTGAAATAACTTCTGGCCAGTGGTCGTGCTATTGATGCACCCATGCAGTCACAGTACCCACAAATTGCTGTTGCTGGGCACTGGGGTTGGGCTCTTGCTGCGCGCAAAGCCTCACCGTGCTTGCCACTAAGGTCCACCGCAGACTGCTGCCCAATGAAGGAGCGACATGCTCATGCTCGCCACAAATCAGAAGGGGTGCAGCCACTGCAGCTTTGCCTGGCGCAGGCGAAGCATGCTGCAATTTGCCATGCAAGGAAGGTGAGACTAGCAGACAGAGTGAGGTGTCTGCAGTTGTGCTTGACATGGGTTTTGAGATGAGTGCAAATATTGATGCCGTTCAGATGACTGCCGAGAGTTTTCTGAGCATCGAGGTTGGCAGAATCCGGACAAAATGGTCACTCTTCAGGAAGGCGGTGCAGAACGTGGTTGACTAGCCGGACTTGTTTCTGAACAGAAAAAGCAAGGGCTAGGGCATCTAGGGCTGAATGGGGGACCCGCTGTTTTTGTCGGGCGCAATCATTTGCAGGTCAATATTCCACGGGCTGTTTCTCGGCAAATGTCCATGTCATTACGCACTTGCCGGTTGAGAGAGCGTGTAACATAAATGACAGCGTGCTGGAGTGGCACGGGGTTCTCCGAGGACGGCTACAATCGGTTGCACAAATCAGCTACTGGGGACCCGGAACACAATTCAGAGACTTCGAGACAAGCTCTACAAAACCATCGGTCTGCCCCCATCCTGAGGTTTGGCAGTTGGCACTCTTTGAAAACTAAGATCAGCAGCACTTGGCACGGTTTTTGGGCTGTTTGTGTCTCACTGTTATGCTTGTTCAGTCAACAGGGGCCGCCGCAACAATGTGGCGCTGGCCACTTCTGAGGCCACGAGCCCCGAAAAAGCTGTAGCCAGCGAAGGTCGCAGCAGAACACCCGCTGACGCAGTGGGCAATGCTGTCAGTTTCTCACTCCGACGGGACGGCTGGAGGTTATGCACACAGGGACGCACCTTGCACCATGGTCGAGTTGTGGAGATCCCGAGTCGAGCAAGCTATATCAGTGAGAGCTGTCGAATGCATCCGCCCCCTGCAAGATCAGAGCATATCAGAGCCTTGACGTTGAAGCGTATTTGACCCGGAGTCGGCCTGGAGCATTTGGCCCCACAACCTCAACTCCGACTCAACTCCTCATAGCCCAAATAAAAGCCTTTGTCAAGTATTCTTGACTGTAATGAGCTCGACCAAAGCGGTTGCCGAAGCATGGCTTCGGACTCCACGTGCGCAATCATCGCTCTCTGGCGTCTGTGCGTGCCCGTGGGCCTGGGGCCGCAGGAGGGGCATGTGGTTGTCCGTGTTAGGCTGCTTGTTCTGGTTAGGTCGGATGGCTCTTGTGCCCGACTCAACAGTGCTGTGCAGGTTGGAGGTGATGGCGCCATCCCCGTAGATGTCCTGAAGGCGGCAAGTCGTGAGCAACAGCAGCTGCGCATCCTGCAACGTGCAGGTTGTTCTGGAGCGCGAGCTGCTTGGCCATTTGGATGACTTTGGCCAAAGCTCCGTTGATGAGATCCTGCATTGGCCTTAGGCTTGACTGAGCTTTGGGGGGTTTGCAGATGCTGCGTCCTTCTCAGGCAAACCTACATGCAGCCAGACTCTGAGGGAGTGGTGGGCTTCCTACAGTTCTGGAAAGGCATGGAGGACGCTCAGTCTGGCTACTGAAGATTGAAGCTCCAAACTTTAAGTCGCTAGGCTATTGCACTACCTTGGGCTTTGACAGGAAATCCTGCGTGCCCGGGGCACCCTGCGCAGCACGCTGACGCGTGCCCAGGACGAGGGTACGTTGCAAAGAGTCCTGAATGGCGTGGGATCGCATCACGGCTTCGAGTGTGCTGTCATCCATCGTCGGGCGCGCGGGCAGGAGGAAGCCATCATAGGTTTTCGCCTGCGGCCTCAGCATGGCATTGTTCTGTGTGTGGCCCGTTGTGGGCGTGTCGGTGGGTGCCAAATCAAGCTTATGCGAACCATACAGTCAACATCCAGGTTTCCTTCGCACCTGCCTCTTGGACATGGCAGCTCGCCAGGCGCGTGTGGTTTTGCAGACATCGGATCTCAGCAAAGGGCAGCATTCCACAGTCGTGCAGCACACTTAGCAGACAGTGGGGACTAGAATAAAAGATGTAGCGAGCAGCGGCGATGCTTGTTTTGACACCGTGGCGATGCATATTCCAGTAAAGGACATTCGGGAAAGGCCACAAGCGTCGCTTTCCCTCCCCAGAAAGTTCTGAGCCCATCCTCCGCAATCGGGTCGGCTTCCCAATCTGTTCCGGTCGATCCTGCCAAGCTTAGCATCCTATTAAGCGCGCTCACCTGCCCTGGAATCCTGGAAGCATCTTGCACGAATACAACCCTCAAACCAATCTAAACTCAAAAGCCGTTTCCGTCCAAGCTTCCAGTGCCTCGGATCCCACAAAGTGTAGTTAAGCTGCCGGCGTTGGGCATCTGCAAAAAAGTCATGAAAGTATAGCAGAGTTTTTAAGGCGTGCACGTTCTTAACGCGCATTCCAAGATGCCATGAAGGCGGTCCTGGAGCCAAGTGAGTATAAGCTGTGCCACGTGAGGCTGAGGTTTTATGGGGAGCAAGGCGACCTGTCCATCCCTTGGAAGCCACCCAAGAAAGGGGAGATGAGGGAGGTTGCCTTCCAGGGCGGTTTGTGCGAGCTTGCGGAGCACGTGGAGAAGTGGCTCGGGTCCCCGGGCGAGTGGAAGCTGAACAATGTGGCGAACTGGCCGCTTTCCGAGGAGGCGCTGCAGCGGCCCACGACGAAAAGCTGTCCCTTGGTGGTGAACGTCGTGAACCGCACGGAGAACATTGAGAAGGACGTCTATTCGCTGCAGAAAAGACTCCGAGACTTGGAGGATGATGTTAAGGGGCTCAGGCATCAGAAGACCACGGACATGAAAAATTTGAACGACCGCCTCGACAAGCTCGGAATGTTCGAAGAGTATTGGGATTTGCTTACAAGTAGCACGGCCGAGGAGACTGCCGGGACACAGGTTCGTTCTGGCCGGAGCCGGCGATGCTGGGCCTTTGTGAATCAGCCTACACCGATGGCCCTGTGGCTGGGTTTGCTTGGAGTCATCCTGACTCTTTCGTGGGCAGCCCGTGCTGAGGTGCTGTCTTTGGGGCATGATGTCCAGATGTCCAAAGACCAGTTTCTGGCTCTTGAGCAGCAAACGAAACACAGCGTCAGAAGCCTTACGCAGGACCAGTCACGGGAGCATGCGATGCAACAGCAAAATCTCAACTATCAGAGGCGCGAGCTTGCAGGACTTCATTCGAACATCTCCCGGCTTCGAGCAAACATGTCCAATCTGTCCTCTCGGCTGAGTCAGGCTCAGGCCCGAGCTCAGCAGAAGATGTCTGAGAAGATGTCTGGCAAGATCAACGTAATTAGCAACCAGATCAGGGAGGTCGAGGAAGATGAGGGGAAATTGAGTTTGTCACTTACGAACAGACTTGATCATCTCCAAAAGAAACTCCAAGAGGTGAAGAATCACACATATTCCCTGCAGCAGGCACAGCAGATGTTACAGAATCAGTCAGAAGACATGGAGGAGGAGCTGACTGCATTCGACTCCAGGCTCAAGCCACTGTTGCTTCGGCTGAATCACACAGTACACCACGTGCAGGTTCTGGAGAAGGAGAGTCGTCAAGCGAACAGTTCGTGGGCGATGCTGCACCACGAAGTTTCGGAGGTGCAAGATCGGACGCTGCCTGATCTGCGCACAGCGGTTGCGAAGCAGGCTGCGAGCGTCTCGAACTTGCAAACCAATATGTCGAGCTGGCACCAACAAGAGGAGAAGTACAGCCAAAAGGGCATGGATGCTGAACGGAAGGTCAACATGGTTGAAAAGGAAGTGCAGAAAGCCCTCCAAAAGACAACAGCTCGGCTGCAGGAGCAAACGTTGCGCGAGGCAGAGGCAGAGTTGCACGAGGCAGAGGCCAAGCTGAATAAGCGTGTCGATCGCCTCGAGGGGAAGCTGCAAAACCTCACGAATACGAGCGAGACTCAGGCAGCCAAAGCAGTCACAGGGTAGCTGCCGCCCGCAAGTCGAGGACCCTTTCGCTCTGAAAACAGCTCCTCTCGGAGATGGGGGCTCTGCGTGGCAGTAGCTGAGTGGATTCCTGAGTAGATGGCCTCAAACACTTCTGGTCAAAAACTGAAACTGTAGCCGCGGAAGATAACCTGCAATAACCTGTAATCAAAACCCCTACTCCTCTTGCTGACGCCGGCTCTACAGTGAAAATCTGTGCCAGCCTCAGGTATCACAAGGACGGTCCTCCTTCAGCGTGAAGGAGCTGAGGCCCGAATGGACGGCTTGACTTCTACCGTGTCAATCTGTGCCATGACAGGTACTTCATCGGCCGCACCACTGCCCTTACGGGTGCTGAAGGTGAGGCTTTCTGGCGTTAGGGCCTCACCTGCGATGTTCGTGCTCTTACGTTGCTACTTGCTGGCTTTCACCCCCAAAGCCTCAGCCACGGCCCTGCGGCGCTCGTAACCAGAACCATAACCCTACAAAAGAGTACGGAGCAATGGCAGGCAAGCTCTAAGCAGTCAACAGAAGCCCTTAGCCCTCGGTTGTCCCCTCAAAAGCGCTCGCCTCTCTGCCAGAAGCCCAGGCAGGCAGGCCCGTCAGCTTCCTGAGGTGGGATACCTTACGTAGCGTGTCTTAGGTTGGGTGCTTGGGTGCTTGGGTGCTTGGAGTGATTGGGTGCTTGGAGTGATTGGAGTGCTTGGAGTGCTTGGAGTTTGGACGAGGGTTCTTCGATGGTTGCAGTGTGGGCCATTGCGAGTGATTGGCGGGTTGTGCTGTTTCTGTCAGGGTGGCCAAGGGCCGAGGCACTGCGCAGGGGCAACGCGGACCCCGCGGACCCAAACTTGAGCAGGACCCGGAGATGCTGGTCACTGGTGAGGAGGTCGCGTCTGCAATGCGCTGTCCCCGGTACGGCTGCTGAGCGTGGAATGGGAATCTTAGTAAACCTTCACCTGGTGGGTGTTGAGATTTTTTCGAGGCTTACGTGGCTGGAACAGCTTGTGGACGAAGGCGCCACGGCCTCCTCATCATCAATGGTCTTAATGGGACACCCAGAGAGTTTTTGGCTCTGTTGGCTGGGCACAGGCTTGTCTGGTGAGGGCGAAGATGACGAGGACGGGGGAATTCACGAGTCACTGACTTGATCTGATAAGCACCCGAGGTTGTTCTTGTGGGGAGGCGCTGCGTTCCCAAGCACTGGTCCAAGGAAACGCGTATGGGCCTCAGGGTTGGGGCATTCTGCGCAGGACTCCGGGGATGAGGAAGAGGAGCCGGAGGCGGGGATGTGCCAAAAATCATCCAACAATCACTGTGTAATTGGGAGGTTGTCCAAGTTGTGATGCCGGCGATTCGAGAAACCCTACACACTTGCACACACTTTTATGGGAGTGTCCGAAACAAGTCGAGTGTCTGGCCACCAAGAAAACATGTGCCTTCATCCTTGCTGATTGAGATGAGCGAGCATTGTGGTACATGTAGTGCCTCTAGAAGTGTGGAAGCAATGAGCAGGTTGGAATCGAACGCGTCGCCGCGTGCTTAGGTTGAAGCACCCGTTCTGAGCTCATGTGCATACCAGCAAACTCAGTTTAGATCAGCTTAGAGTTGTGACAGGCGGTGCCCATTGTGCGCCGTATCAGCGGCATTTTGCGCGTTTGGGTTTGGTCTTGCAGGCCCTACCCCCGCCTCCGAGTTTGTCCCCGTCTCCATCTGCAGTCAGAGCCTCGGAGCCTCGGGTGAACGGGGCATCGACATATTCGGCGAAGCACGAAGAATCGTCAGATACTTGAGAGGACAGGCTTGCGCCGGATCGGTGCTGAACTTAATAGCTGCGTTGTTTTGCGAAGCAGCTCGAATGATACAACCCCCGCGCTTGATGTTGCAGGACAGATAGCCTTTCCTTCCTCTTGGCTCCAGCTTCAGCATCCGCACCGTCTGTGAAGGTTCCACCCTGCAACAGCAAACCCCCTTAAAACCTTGCTGCCTCTCAAAGCCGGTCAACCCTAATGCCTCACACGAGGTCTCATAAGGCGTGCAAGGATGTACATGCGCGGTTTGAATAGGGATTTTGAGACTTCGTAAGTTTATAATTCGTTTAGGGTTTACGGTTTAGGGGGGAAAGTTAACACAGGTTTGATCAGGTCGTGCATGCTGCTTTTTCTGGCATCCCTCCGGTCCCAGCCCACATGGGAATATTAACGTAGGCTTGAGATGCCCTGCAGCACGGCACCAACAAGCCGGCGAAGCTCACCTCTTTGCTGTTTTTTTTTGGCTAGCTTCTTTGAACAAACTGAGAAACTGAGATTCGGAAAGACACGGCCTGAGCCAGACAGGCACATTGACACACATACACGCCCTCTGGCAGCCAGCTGCATCCGACTGCCATGTTCGATGGAGTTGGCTCTGCTCCAAAGGCCAGCCGCCAGAGCCATCTGCTTGAGCGATCTTGAGCGTTTGGATGCTCTGCACAGGTGAGTCTTGCTGGACGTAGCGGCCGCCGCTACTTGTCAACAACGGGCGCTTGCAAATCACAAGTCTTGAGAATCATGATGTGCCTGTGCTTCAGCCCCTCAACTTGAAGCGCTCACAGGCGCTCTTTGCTTCTGCATTTGCCACGTTTGCATTGATTGTGCTTGAACTACTCTTTCAAACAACTCCTTATCCGCGCAAGCTTGTGGGCAGTGCTGTGCGGCGGGGTCGTGCTCTGGGACTTCCTTTCCCTTGATGTTTTATGCAAGAACGACTTCTGCATGCTACGAACATACAAGCGATTGAACAGAAAGCGCTTCTGCATTTTCAGGACTGATGTTACGAAATGCGTCCTGATGCTGAAGAGTTCAGGTGCAACAATTTTCCCGACCTCGTGTCATGCAGACAGAACGTCTCCATCTTTAGAGGCTGTGGTCTTTCAGTACTTGATTATACTTGATTCATATTCGCCATAGGTAACCGTAACAGTAAGATGCGTCGGATACCGGTATAAGACGAAATCAGATGCACTGGCACTTAAAGCTGTTGCATATCATAGCCGTCTTGGTGTTCACGCAGCAGCCGAAACATGCTGCTGCGTAGCAAACTTACAACTGGTATGTGCACGATGGCACAGATTGCAATGATTGCAATGATTGCCCAGCAATACGCATGTGACGAGCCGCACGTTGTTGATGATGTCATGGGCAGTGTTGACAGGAAAATGGCATGTGCAGAGAGTGGGCTGGCGGGGTCCCAGGATCTGTTCTCCTACCATCGTTGCAAGACATGATATCCCCGTGGAGTTCCACAAAACATGCACACGAGAACAGCAACCAGGAGTCACGTTAGCACCACCGCAATGAAGACATTTGGTATCCAACGGCAGCAATGTGAATGAGTTTGGAGATGTCAGCTGCGCTGCAGCTATCACGCAGATGATGTGTTTGTAGACATCTGAACACCAAGGAAACGCAACCCCGAACAGAAACAGTAGGACTAACGACAGTAACTTCGCGCTGCGCGACCCTGCCTCGGCTGGGGTCGGTTTTTGTGGGATTAGGCCGTGGTACTTGAAAATTCTTCCCGAACTCATACGGCCGGAGGCCTCGGCCAACCTATGCTGGCAGCATTGCACGTGTGATGGTAAAGACATGTAAAGACAACTGTGCATTCCCGCACTCATTGCCGGGATGAAATGACGAATCCTCCTGTCTAGAGTCTAAAGACATTGGCCTGCCTGTGCCTCTGTTGTGTCCAAGTGTGAGCGATTGCCTAAACAGGGTCAGCAGGAGAATTGATCAAACTTCAGGAAGCGCTACTTGTACATGCAGGTCTCCTCACTTTAAGATATTTTGATTGGAGTCTTTCCATGTCTTCCATGTCTGACTTTTGGGGGCAAACGGGGGGTACACGAGGTAAACGAGGGGATTAACGAAGGGGTCTAACGATGGGGTAAACGAGGGGGTAAACTCGGGATTAAACGAGGGGGTAAACAGGGGGCATGATGGCCAAGGCAGTGCCTAATTTCATCGTAGAAGTTAGTCTTCAAATGCCCTTGACTTGGGTGTCGGGGGGCTCCTGAAATCACGGATCCACCATCCATGCTATTTGGTAGCCCCAGGCGGTGAAAGCCGCGCCGAGTTCCTGCGACGGTCGGCGAAAGAGCGCGAGGACCGTGAGCGCAGCTTGGCTTGTGGGCAGATTGGCACTGAAGCTCGCTAGCCGATAGTTTAGCAGCTTAGCAATGGCAGATATCACACCGCAAATATCTGTTCTAGAGAAGCGTGCTGTGGCCGCAGAGGGCCGATCCCCGCACAAATAAGGCAAGCGTGTTCGCGACATCGCAGCCACCAAGATTCAGGCTCTGTAGGGAGGGGTTTTGTATGTTGACAGTCGATCAAGTGGGGTAACTACGGCCACAAGCGACAATGAGCTCAATCAAGCTCCCACATGTGAGATTGTGTGTTGCTCTGTGCAATGTGCAGTGCTCCTCTCACACCGAACAAGGCGTTTTGGAGAAGCAGCAAAGCACGCCAGGCTTGAACATATTCCAGCCCTGCATGATTGAACTTGCATTCTGTGCACGAAGTGGAGAGCTGGAGAGCCCCCTTCCAGGTACTAGTGTAGCACTGTGCGATCCCTGTTCAAGGCTTTCAAAGGGGAGCAGCGAGCTCTCTTCGATGCACGTCTTGCCGATGTCGAGAAGGCAACTGTATGCTTGTACTTCCTGAAATCGTTGTTCAAAGACAGCGAAGCCCCAAAAAGAACATCTGTGAACCAGGGAAAATGAGAAGCGCTTTGGGGAGCCTGACGGAGCCTGATGGATCGAACCTGCAGGTGGCACGCTTGCTGCCTGATGACAAGAAAGCTGTCGTCGTCATGAACGCACTGCGGAATTACTTGCCTCTTGGCCAAGCACCAGGCTGGCCAGCAGTCCCATTGCAGTTTGCGTGTCCCTCAGGCTTCGGCCTTTTGGCTTCTTCTACCGAAGGTCGCAGGAGCTCTGATTTGGCGCATGCTCTCAGCATGAAGATGTTGACGTCGCGGAAGGACGCATCGCGAATTCTTCGGCTTTGTCCGCTGGTGGAGTTCACCAGCCAGCAACCTGCGGCGACCAATTTCTTTGCTGGTTTGCTTGCAGAGGAGGAGCCATGCATGTACTTTGTTTCCAGGGCACTGTGTCACTATGTGTCACTATAGCACATGGGACCTCTTTCACGCGTGGAAATCCAACTGCGGCTGCGTTGCATTCCAACTCCGTCTCCGACCATCTGCGGTTGACCACCACAGCATTTCACGACTTTCCACGACTTTCTCGACAGCGTATCCGACAGAATTGAACCAACAAATGCCAGCAGCCCAACTAGCATTGGCACATCTAGCACCTCAAAAGATCTCAAATCCCGATTTGGTGCGTCATATCGCTTTGGACGATCCACCGTCTGTGCAGGAGGCGATGAGACACAGCACGCTAGCACAGAGCGTCTTGGCTGCCAAGTGTCAACGCCTGTGTGCTTGCCCGTTCGTGTGTGCACGAGAGACAGACATCTCCGTACGCACGATGCAATTTCGGCGCCTTAGTAAAGCCTCGCATGGACGTTGCTGGTTCGGGTGCGAAGACGTCTGTGCAGGATTGATGGTGCAGCTTTTGTGGTGCGGCATTGATGTGTCAAATCGAGCATGTGCAACAATAGGCAACATTGATGTCACAACCTCTGTGGATCATGTGCGCCAGAAACATGGCCAGCAGTGTCCTTGATATCACAATCCACGTGGAACTTGGGCATGTGCAGCCTTTATGTCGCAGTCACTGCAGAGCATGGGGGTTGATATCGCAGTCCTTGTGAAGCATGTGAAAATTGATTGGTAGCTTTGACTTTCTTTTCCCGTGAAGCAGCTTTGATGTCGCTGTTCCCGCAGAGTGCGTTTTGCCTTGATGTCACAATCCTCGAGGAGCATGCTTAGCATGGACACTGATGTCACAGTCCCCTTCTGGGGCATGCGCAACTTGCCAACACGGCTTCCATTAGAGTCATTAGAGCATATATACCCGTGCATGGCACGAATTCATGTAAGTTTGTTTTCATCTTTCGCAAACAAGCCGTTTTTCATCCTCTACGGTGAGCTCCTATGATCTCATTTGCAAATCCATCTTAACAAGAGCACTGAGAGATACAGGTTGAAGGATTGTGCACGGCAAACGTGGCTCAACTCACCCAGGTTGGAAGGTGATCAGAGCTCTGCTGTCCATGGGTGAAGTGGTGAAGGCTTGCGCTGTGGTGCTATGGTTCCTGTTTGCGCCATTGCAGCTGCCCGCAGTCTGATGACACACAACTTCTTCAGATGACATGTCATGTGAGCATCACAACTTTGCCTGCTTAAAGTGCTGGCACATTCAGAAAGGTTGCCAAAGTGATGCCGAGAGCTTACTCTTGAACTCGAGTGTGAGCCATGTGCCTCGACCGATTTCGTGGTCTAAGGATGCATATCCGCAATCTGCTTTTCGACCAGGCGAACGAGCCCGTGCATGCGCAGAGTGCCTGATCGTAACTGTTTAGCGGCAACTTGGGGATGGGCCCTGAAGCCCAGAGTGGCCTAGAGATGCCTAGAGGCTATAGAGGCTGCAGCTTTTCCAGCTTCGGCTCGGGCATCTCGAGTTGCGGAAGGATGGGGCCCGAAAAGCAGTCCACGTACAGTTTACATATAAGGAGCACAGACAGGGAGAGCGCGCGCGTCAGAGAGAGAGATCACGTACGTAGGGGTGGAGCCCTCTCCCTTGGGGTGTCCCGTCGTGGTGAGTTTCAAGTTTCCCACAACAACAAGTGGGGGCACCCAAACTGC